CACAAATCACTGTTATATGTGGCATTTTATCAGCATGAAATCTCATTTTCTGTTGTATCATGCTAAAGTTCTGCAAGATCCACCTGTAATTCTTCAGGCATTTTTCAAACCAACTACCCTGACTACCTTAGAATCATCAGAAAAATTAAAGTCTTCACTACGTCTTAGATGTGTTGCATAGCGTGTGTTGCACAGGGATCCCTGCAGGATCAGGTATTGCAGGTAGCATAGCTCTGATGCCCTGTAAAGCACAGCATTTGACAAGGAGTGCTCCAAGCACACTGAGCAGGAATGCTCTGTTTCAGTGGATATCCCATGGCGGACTGTGGAGCTCTAATGCTCGTGATGTGCAGCTGAACTCGTGCTGGCACAAGCCATGCACAGGCAGACATACTCCAAAGCTTTTCCAGGCACAGTCTCAGTGCTGTGTGTATGGCAGCACAACCATAACAGCAGTAGGATGGCCACACTCCACACCCTGTTGCTGGGATGAGATTTGCAGCACACCAAATCTGCACTCACAGATGTTATGTCTGAACCAGTGTCTTGCCCTGGCATTCAAGGAGGATCCTGGTGCAGTTTGAACCAGCCATTGTGAAATCAGCTAACTTGAACTTCCTCTTATGAAGGCAGCCAAGAGCAGTTTCGGATGTCCCCTGGATGTGTTCAAGAACAGGCTGGATGGGGCGCTGAGCAACCTGATCTACTGGGTGGCATTCCTGCCCATTGTGGAGGGGTTGAAACTAGATAATCTTTTAGGTCCTTTCCAACCCAAACCATTCTACGGTTCCTGGTCACCAGGAACCTGTTAAGAAAATAAAGCTTTAATTGTAAATATGATTCAGTGCCATCGTCATTCTGCCAAGGATTCCTAAAAGAGCCTGTCATTGTTGGGTCACAGTCCCATCCACGGCTCCATGGAGGACTCAGTTGGAAGTGCGGAGTCCAGGGCAATGCTGAAGGACTACAAAGATTCTCAGCAAACACTGATCCCAGGCACAATGGAAGTGAATTGTGGAAACCATGATTCCCAGTCCAGGCAAGCACACAAAAGAATGAAGAGGGGGAGAAACTGTTGGCTTCAGATGAGCAGAAGGTATCAGTACCAAAACCTTAATCAGGCTTTATGTTCCAGAATCAGAGGGACAGAGACCTAGAGCCAACAAACCCCAGAAAACTCTGCTATGTGTCCAGGGCTTGGTGAAGAACTTAAATGGGAATTAAGTGTTCTGTGGAATGCAGATTACATAAATCCAGAGAAAACTGGGGTAGTCAGCCCCCCTGAATATCTGGGAGGGACACAACCAATTTTAACCTGAAGCACTCCAAGCTGAGATGGCAAACCAGAAGGATCTAATGCCTGGCCCAGCTTCAGCAGAGCTTACCATAGGAAAGAGATCAGGCACTTACAACTACACACAGTATCTTCATTTCATATATTCCCAGTTCAAAGCCCAGGGATGGAGTGGGGAAGGGTGAAGGAGCACTTCATCTATCCCTCACCTGTTTCATGCAAAATATTGCCCACAACCCTAGAAGGAAGACAGATATAAGGTTTTAGTGAATCATAACCCTTATGTAATATCCTGGTCTGGGATATTACATCTTCCAGCTCACATTAAGAAAAAAGAAAAGATATATTCCTGTGTATCACCCAGTCACTGCCCAGTCAATAACTCTACAGACCCACCCAAAAGGCAAAACAACCAAGCCACAGAGAAAACTGAGGATACCAGGCATCCTGCACAGGAAAATGTGTCAGACAGCATCTGCTGTCACAGCAAAAACTGAACCAGAAGCAGAACTGCAGGCAGAATACTGTGCAGCCATAAACCAGGCTTGCATCTTCTGAATATTCTATGAATCCTTATCCACAGCCTGAAGGTTTCTGAGGGACGACTGCCAGGAGGTAAGGAAGCCTCTGAAGCAGCTGCTCTAGGTGTTGCTGTCTAAGCCCAAAGGACGCAAACCCACTGCTGCCAGCAAAAGGTCACCAGACTGGAACCTTGCCCAGCAGCTTCTATGAAGCACACAAACTAGCAGACTTTCAGACTGCAACTTTTCAACATGAGAGTACAAATTAGTTTTCTAAATACAGACCTGTACTCTTCATGGAATGAATGGCCTGGATGCCCGCAGGGCTGATGGAGGTAGCACTTGATGACACAAAAGACTTCAGTTTAAAATCCAGGGCAGCTACTGACTCCCTGAGTCACCTTGGTGTGCATACTTGAGGCCCTGGCTCCCTGGTGAATGAGGAGATACTGAACCTCCCTGCCTCTCAGGGGAGGAAGAATGCAATAAAGCTTAGAAGATCTCAGGATGTCTGCCATAAATCCCAAAATTAGGGGAGGCAAGCGGGGTTGTTCATTACATAAAAAAGCCAGGCTGCTTTTAAGTGCCTAATTCGGATGTGGAAGCAGGATGCAGCCAGTAACAAAAACATTGGCCTTCCCTGGAGACACAGCACTCGGATCAGACGGCGCTGTGTTTGTGGGCTGATGTGTGGGGATAGCACCTACAGGTCTGCCCCAGCTTTGCTCTCAGGTCTGGGAAGAACAGCAGTGCACACAACCAGCTCAGCAGCACAGCCCTCACCAGGGCACACACAGCTCCCCCAAAGCCAGGCACGATGCTTCCAGAGAAATCTACAAAAAGCCAGCGGTTGGATCATATGTTTTCCTAATTCAGAGGAAGCCTGGCCCAGCTCCTGCATCCCACAACATCTCCTGGTGTCGGGGAGGGGGGTGGTTTGGAAAAGGCCAGATCCATTTATAGCTGAAAAGTCTGGCAGAGGGCTCAGCTCCGTGTGGAAAAGCAGGAGCTGACAGCTCAGTACAGCCAGCTCCACCCAGCTGGAGAGGCAGGATGGAGAAAGAGACAGGGGGTACGGAAACCGCTTCCCTTCAAGCTGCGGGAAACAGGAGAGAGAGAGGTGGCTTCTCAACATTGCCAGGAAGAGAAAAAACACTCTCCACCTTCTGAGTGAATTACAAAAAGTAGGGCTGCAGAAAACTAGCTCTGGAAAACCCAAGGAGTAGCTGAGCTGCAGATATGGCCAGAAGCACTTCAGAGGTCAAGCCCAGGCTGCAGGGCTCTGTGCCCTTCTGCTGAGCCCTCCATCCCATGAGCCCTGCAGCAGCACAGACCCCTATCACAGGGACAGGGACAGAGATGTCTGGGAGCTGAGGCTGGGAACTCAGCACCCCCCCACCCTCCCACTTATTACCAGGACAAGTGACAGCTCCTCACTCCAGCATAGTTACATCAACCAAGACATAAGCAGATGCAGCAAAAAGCCCTTGCCAGCCCTCATGGAAAAAGCTTGCCCCTGAGGACGAGGCACCGGTTTAAAGCATCAACATGCGCAGAGTTATGCTGTGATGACTTCAGCTCCACCCCATGTTGTCAGGCATGAGACAGTGAGAGAGGAGAGGTATTTACATAGCTAACCCAATTTAGCTAACAATTGTGCATATTCACAATAAAATTAGGAAAAATAACCACTGAAGCTGTGTTGAGGATCAATAAGATGATGATGCCATAAAAAAAGCAAATGCAGCCTAGACAATTCAGTGAAATACCAGAGCTATTGTACAGGCATGATAACAGAAGCATCACGCAAAAAAAACCAAAAAAAACTGGTCAGCCGCATTTAAAAATTATAAACTCAAATGAACAGGTGCAGAAAGGCCCTGAGAGAAACAGAAAACCTATCAAACAAGAAGAAACTTAAGAACCTGGCTTGTTTAGCCTAGCCAAATGTAGGCAGAGAGAGGATAGGATTGCTGTCTAAATATATCACAGGAGACAAACAAAACTACTGAAGCAAAAGGATAATGCTGGCATGACAACAAGAGAATAAATGCACTGTGAACATATTTAGGTTGAAAATTAGAGGGGGAGAAAAATCAACCATCAGAACAGGAAGCTTTCCAGCTGGAATGGCTGGGTTTAGGATGAAGTTTGTTAGTGGCCTGATGGGGTTACAGGATACAGTGCTTGTGCCCACAGATATCTTTAAGCTCCTGTTTTTGTTCCAGCTAGTAATTAGCCTGGGGCACTAGTGAGATGTCTCCTTTCATCCAAAAGACTTTGCTGAGGATCACTCCACTTGGAGAACCCAGGGCAAGGCACACAGTGCTCCTCTGCCCTCTCATTTCCTAAGAGCTGCTCATGCATAATGACTTCCAGGCTACAGGTCAGTGGGAAAGAGTTGCATGGATGCACACCGATACAAGGAGAGCTACCAGGCAGCACAGAAAGAATGCAGGTGTTGCAGTTAGCAATGGAAAACGCCCTTGAGGTGCCTCTGCCTGAAAGTACCTGATGCCCCACAGTATTAGGGGAAGAGGTTGCTCTGTGTCATCCTGTGGATTCAGGAGAGAGAAGATGTTCTCAGCTCTCTCTGATACAGTGTGACCATATTATCACCGGTTATCAAAGAATCACACAATGGTTTGGGTTGGAAGGAACCTTAGAGATCATCTTGTTCCAAATCCCCTGCCAAGGGCGGGGACACCTTCCACTACACCGGGTTGCTCAGAGCTCCGTCCAGCCTGGCCTTAAACATTTCCAGGGATGGGGCATCCACAGCTTCTCTGGACGACCTATTCCAGAGCCTCACCACCATCAAAACATAATCACTCTCGATCCCTAAATTGCAGCCTAGCGGAGTGGCAAGTACAGGCACAACAGCAGACCAATGTTCAAACTATAAATATTTATAATACGGAATAATGAGGATAAAAAGGTAGGGGGTGAAAACAAAATCCAAACCCTATTTCAGGAATTAATTTTTTTGACCTATCATAAAAATGAGAGCTTCATAAAAACCTATAGATTATCGGTTTTAGACATCACAGAGAGATGATGACACAAGGTTTCACCTTCCCCTGGGGACTAAGCAGAGCACCACGCACATGAGAAATACAGACCACCCCTCGTCCACGGACAAGCCACCATTCCCCCGCCCCCGCCGACGCCCCGCCGTCCCTTACCGATCGCCCGCATCGCTCCGCTGTTTACAGCCGGTTGACGGGGCGGGCTCTCGACGCTGCCCGCCCCCACTGTGTCCTCCGCCTAAGGATGTCTGACGTTTCCTTTAAGTTTCCTCTTAAAACATCCCAGCTAGGATGGAAAATTTTGGGAATTTGAGCGTTTCCCGCATCAGGATACCGGATGAAAAAAGCATTGTCGTCTCAGATCCGTCGTCCCACAGACCATCCTCCCGCTTTAGGAGGTCCAGGAATTAACATGCGCTTCTGGTTATAAACTGCTCAGATCAATTAACAGAGTGCCAGGGAATCTATCATCCCAATATTCTCTTTTTATTTAAAAAAAAAACCAAAAACAATTATTTTACAAAATCAGGAGTGATGTAGAACAGACATCACTGCCAGCTGATGTGTTTCAAATGCTGATTGTGTCAAACTATGGAAATAATTGTATCTGGTGCAAGCTCACCAACAGCTTTATTATCCCCTGCATGTCGTATCCAACATTTTCAAATCCCCTTTTAGCCAGGAGGTGAGTGCTTTGCACGTAAACCATGTGAGAAGAGAGGCACAGTGTCAGAGTTTCCTTGCTCTGTCAGCACAAGGTCTGCCTCTGCTGCTCTGCAATATATTCTGCTGCATCACATGCTAGGAATAGCTTTGATAGGACTCAGACCACAGACCAGTCTGGGTATCATGGGGATGTCTGTTTATCTGCACAAATTCTCCTTTTTCCTCTAACCCTAGGGACGCTGACTGTGAAAGACATAATCCTCATCAGAAAGCTGTGATTGTCTCTGCAAAGTGAATGGTAAATCAGAGGGAGGCGACAAGCACTCACTATCACAGCGGTTTCCTCAGCCAGAGTGCGGACTCTCACTTTACTTAGGTGTCTCCTTGCAGGGGAGATCACCAGATTAGAATTTGCTCCCTCCCAAGCAAGCAGCTCCTGGACACTGAAGCCTAGATCCAGTCTCAGCTCCACGTTTGCACTGGCCATGCTGAAATTTAATACCACAGTTTGCAACAAGCCTCCCCGAGCAGCAGGTGCAACAGACTGGGGCTTTTTCTGTGCTTAGTTAAACCCAGGGAGATGAAACCTTCTATTAGAGTTTAAACAATCTGCTGAAACTGTGACCACAGGCAGCAAGGTGTTCCATGCAGACCAGATGAAACGGGGGCATAGCTGGCCTGTTGCCATCATACGTTGCCACCACTGACAGCTCAGAAGCTCATGGCAGGGAGCTCCCCATAAATATCAGAGGATTCCTGCACAAAAAAAAATCAATTCAAAATAAGAAAGGAGTCTAAAATTGTATGAAGGAGCTGAAAAAAAAAGCAACAAACCAAAAAAATCCCAACCCACAAGTTGCTTAGTCCTCTGCACAAAAAAAAAGCTGCATTTAGACAGCTCAGCAGTGCTGGCAGGACAAACTCTCACTCTGCCACGCTGGCCTTCCACCCAGTAACCTTCCTGATCATGGAGCTGGTGAAACAAAACAGTGAGCAAATCCCAATCCTTGAAGATCACCATGACTTTGGCTGCATCTGTGCATTTTAGGTCCCTCTGCTGGTAGTCAGACTGGTAGGCTTTTCAGCTCTCTGCTACCTGTGTTTGACAGACAACCCATTCCCAAATAAAATGTGAGCCAGCACAGAGCAGAGAAACACTGCAGCAGCTCTTAAGGCCTCACTAAGTTCCTATGAATCTTGACCGAACTGCTCATCATGGAGGGTGAGGGAGCCACCAGGGAACTTCATCCCTTACACTGAAACACAGCACCAGTGGAGTAAAGGCTATTTCAGGTGCTAGCCATGAAATAGCATTTCTGCTTTCAATACTGCTTGTGTAATCACCATCAAGCCAGATGCGTGTGCATCTCAGTCTGTTATGGTGGCGGAGACGCCTGGAGATGGCAGCTCAGCTGAGCCCTAACCATGGCATGGGCTTCTAAGGGCCAGATTATATTATGTGGTCCATATGGGAGTCTGGGCATCTTCTGCTCTTTTATTTTAAGTTTAAATTAAGTGGCTGGTGTCCAGTTACAAAACTTGAGAGGGCTCTGAGGACAGTGATCTTTTACAGGAGCAGATTTGCAATGCAGATAAAACAGCACAGGCTGACGAGCGTCAACTCCTTGTCCCTTGACCAAGTAAGGGTTTGTCTGAGCCTGCAGCAGTTCCCGATCGCAGATGTGGGATGAGGGTGCTCTTTGGGCACTGGCCATCTCCTGAGAAAGTGGATTACAGTCAAAAGGCTACAAGATTACAAAGATTGTGGATTTGGGGGTTGTGTGGCTGGACCTAAGGCACACCTGGGGTCGACACTGTCACCCCAGTAATACGGTCCAGAGTGGATTCATGAAGAGAAACAAAGGCACAAGAATGAGAAAGGCATTGCCAATTCAGCCTTTCCCTCAGACTGGACTTCTCTTTGCTCTGAGGTATGTAGTTAAAGGGAGGGGAAAAAATAGCGTTATGAGCAACGCTGGGGAGTGGATATGCCTCCTGCAGCACATTCTCTCTTGTTCCATGGAGGCCCTCTGGGATACCATACAACTCCATGCTCCAATTCACCCTGCCCACCTTCCCCAGCAGCAGCACACATCTTTGGAAAAGAAGCTGGAATCAGAAGATACATATGGGTGAAAGGAAAGGCCCAAGTCCTTGATTTGGTAGCCTGGAAGGCAGAACTCTGGGCAGCCACTGGCTCGGTCCTCTCCTGACAGCCCTTTACTTTGGTTTGCTTTGCTATTTTTTGGGGGGAGGAGTCCTTTTTTTTTTTTTTTTTTACAATCCTTTGTGTTTATATTTGTCACTATTTGGTGAAAATGTTCCTGTTGTGGCGAAAGGTGATTTTGGCCGCATGTTTCTGCCCGACATAATGAGTGCTCCAAAGCCGTGTTGGTGAGAGAAGGCATAGCCAGAGCGGCGGGTGCTGGTCCGACGCAGCCGTCTCTTGGGTGAGGGTGGAGGGGGCCGCTTTTTGGCTTCTTTGATCTTGAGCAGGACCTGAAATGAGAAAATAAGGTGGAAAAAGTGCAAAGTGGATCATTATTCACAAGCACAGCAGAAGAGGAGCAGAGAAAGGGAAACAAAAGCAGCAATCCAAGGCCAAAAATGACTGACAAAAGGGGGCAATGGCAGGAGGGGAGGCAGAGCTGCGACTGAACTGGCAGCACAGGGCGGCAGCCTGATAAAAGGAAATAGCAATCTTATTCTAAAAGGCATTAATGGGAGTGTCATCCTTAAGTCATGGGAGGGAATGATTTCCGTGTATTGTTCTTCACAGCTCTGTAATGCCCTGGTTGGGGTATTACTGCAGCTCTTCAAGGCACTCAAAGCACCCAAAATGTGAAAGTCATCTTGACCATAGTCAAAAGTCCAGAAAACAAATGAGGAAACATTTAAGAACTGGCATATTTAATATGGAAAACAGACTACTAAAGGGGATTTCTGATATGTAGAAGCTTTTTCTGATGAGAATGATTATCGTAATAGAATTATAGAATCATAAAGTGTTTTAGGTTGGAAGGGACCTTGAGGACCATATCATTCCAATCCCCCTGCCACGAGACCAAGTTGATCAACACGCCATGCAGCCTAGCCTTGAACACTTACTGGGATTGATAGATTCTTGTACTCCTTGCCAGAAGGGAAATAAATATTGCACTTTATTTGCAGGTCGTGGGCTTTCTGCTCCCAAGTGGCCACTGAGTTAATCTGTGGTCAAGCACCTTTTCAGAAAGGGGCTGTCTAATGCAGGAGGCTGGTATTGAGTGCCTGTGGCTCAGCAGAATCCCCAGCTGCTGGACTCTTGTGCTTCTTGCTTGGCACAATGGCAGCGATAGGTACTTGGCCCCTCTAAACACTGGGTCTATTTACTGCCAGCTGGGCAAATCCACACAGCAGGAAACCCAAATACTCCTTTCCTGTGACCATTCACTTCCCAGAGGAGGCAGAAAAGTAATATTGTGCTACAGAGAGAGAGATGCCCGACCTCAGCACTGAAGCTGGGATTCTGGGTGACAGCTGTTTGACTTCTACTCAACTGAGGGGTAAACTCAGCCTGTTTTTACATCCCTGACCTGGCTCTGTGTCCCAAGGACCTCCCTACCCAGAACTCTTCTCTAGCACCCACCTACCCTCTCTGCAAGGGCTCAGAATTCCCCTAACTCCTTCTTCTAAAGTCCTGGAGAACCTGAGGAGCTCCAGACATGACCAGGCAGGGCAGTCAACTGTGGTGCATGCCCTTGGTGCTGTGCTCTGACACTGGTTCCTGGCAGCTCGGTGCAGGGAGATAAAGGAAGCACGAGGTGGCAGTAGCATTCAGCAGATGCTCCCGTTTGGAAACGAGCCTGGGGAGCTCTGTGTGTGCTGCTGTTCTTGGCTACAGTGAGCTATGAGCTCTCTGCCCACTCTATCACTCCCAGCCTCTCCTTGCCCTACTGCCCTCAGCTTCATATTCCCGGGGATGGGAAGGCATCTGGTTTCAGAGGGGGCATGTAAGCATTGGCTACAAAAGAAGTAAATTCTGAAATCAAAAAAATCCCCACCAAACATGTCTGCTCGGGTGGAGGGTGGAAGGCTGTGGTCTGCCAGGCTAAAAACTGCACAGCAGCAGGGCAGGAGAAACACACCACTCCTTTGCCACTGAGCCACAGTGCTTAAACCCCGCACCTAAAAATAGTGCAGCTTTCCTGCCTCAGAGCATTCTAATCCACATCTGAATAATCTCAGCCTTGGTCCCAGCTGCAGATGGTTTGAACTGTGCCAAAACCCAAATTCAATCCTCCTTCTCAGGGGAGTAAGGGACAGACGGATGGCAGCACTTGCACAGACAGGGACGCACACTCCAAGCGATGCCAAGCCCATGGCTCCATGGTAAACCTAGGCCATAGTAAGCAGGATTTCTGGTTTAATAAGGTATCTCCTTACTTTATCACTGGGTGTTGGCTTTAACTGAGTCTTCAGGAATCGAAAGCCAACCACGGGCAGCACGCAGAGGGTGATGCTGAGGAAGATTGCTAGCCACACATTCGGTTGGCTGAGGGTGTTTCGAGCCGTACCTGAAAAACAAAAGCATGATTAAAACAGTAAAAGCAGCACCTCTTATTCACCTGAACCTTTTGCTCTCTGATTTCAAAGCACTTGGCAAACAGACCAAAATATATGGCAGACACCATCTCCAACAGTGAGATCCACTGGCTGTAGAGAGGACAGCAATGCCAGTGTCACTGTCATGAGCAAAGAAAAATGAAATATCCAGACACAATTGCAGCAATAACCCAGGGATACAATGGTGTCAGAGTAATCTCTTTAGAAAGAGTCAAATCACTGCAAAGGATTCATATAAATGCTCAGGAGACCTTCATCAGAAGTCCAGCCCTCCCACCTTTTGCCAGGACTCTAGTGCAAAAGGAGGAATACTACTTTCTTACTTTCCAGTACCATTTCCTGAAGCATATGGAATACTACTCCAACTGCACAGCAGACAAAGGGAATCACAGCCCTTTATGAGAAAAGCATGTGTTGCTCTGGGTATCTGCACAGACAGTGTAGCCTAATGGATATGTTGGCAGAACTACTGCCATGTGCTGGTGTGTCACTGACACCTTCTTTGAAACCAAAGTGCTCTCTTCTGGCTTCTCCAAAATTGAATGAATATAAGATGGAACAAACAGTCTGCAAAACTCTCAATACAGAGCTTAATGATGCTGTTGTTGGCAGTAAAGTTGCTGAATGTTTTCTTTCCAGTTGGCCAAATTCTGCTGTAATACAACTCCACTGAAATTAAAGTAAACAAGTTGTCTCAGTCCAGACTAGAAACACTTTCCTTAAAAATGACCTTATTGTCTCGCAGCACTATGGCTAGTTTAACAACACAGTAATGAGAGGGCAGCAGATAGTGATATCCCTGGCAAGTGAGTTAGAATCATCATGGAATCATCGAGGTTGGAAGTGATCTTCAAGATCATCCAATCCAACCATTCACTTGTTTTTGGAAACTGAACAGGCACGCTGTCTTCTCTCACTCAGCATTTTTAACAGTAAAAGTCACCTCACAGTGGAAACGATCACCTGCTTGAAAAATATGTTGCAACAACTGACCTGCATCTCAGATAGTTCTAAATTGGCTAAGGCCCTTGCTATTGCAGTGAAGGTAGGCAGAACAAATTTTACTGAAGAAGTCATCCAAAAATAAAGGCATTGATCAATTCAAAAATCTGAGACTTGGAACACAAAGTTTGGGGATTTCGGAAGTAGAGGTTCATAACAATGTTGTATCAATATTGGCTGTGGATGCACAGAGCTATTTAAAACATCCAAATTCACTAATCTTACATGTTTCTCCTGGTCAGAGTCTCAGGAGGTAGATTCATTCTTATGTTAGCCATCATTTTTTGCATGTGCTCAGAAACCTGTTATGTAGAGTAACTACAAAGACCTGGTCATCACTGGAATGTTTTTGGTTTTGTTGTTGTTGGGAATTTGCCATTTAACCTGGCAGAAGGCTCACCTTAATCACATGGCATTTTTCTCATGTCTAACTCGATGTTGTACTTCTATGCTTTCCTTTGCCAAAATGTTAACTTATTTACAAGGAAGACACATCCTTCTGCCAATAAAATGCTTCTAGATATCTGTAAGAATTGGACACCTGCAGAAGAGCAGCATAAAATGTTCCAGCCAGCTCTGCAGGTTTATTTAAAGGACCATTCCTATTAACGCATGGGAATGCCCATTCTTACACAAGGAGGTCAACATGGCACACATTCACCTGGATGGATGGGATTCCAAATAAGTATTCCCAACCACGCTCAGAAATATTCTGCCATTTCTTGTAGAAAGGGCAGTCAATATATTCTGAAACATACTTAGAAATACTCAGCAGATTTAAGCCCTGCAGTGTGTCCATTTTGAGTGCAATCCAGATTTGTCCCAGGGCTTACCAACGAAGGGAAAGGAGGCCGTGAAGATCAGATACATGCCATCACTATACATGGTGAAGGTGATAGCAAAATAAACAGAAAGGCTTCCCCAGATGAAGAACTGGTTCACAACTGTCCAGTAAGAGGTGTCCAAGCCAATCTGAAAGAAGGGAAAAATACACCCATTGTCAGTGCCTTCATTATTTAGCAGATATGTACTGAACACAGCTCGTCCCATAGGCTGTACATCTCCCCCTAAGACTGCTATTCATTCAAGTCTCAAGAACTAAAAAGTCACAAATCATAGGATGCTGGGAAACCATTCAAGGCAAGCATTACTACATTTATCCTGCTACTGCCCTCTTCTCAAGCATTCATCAGTGGACAGTACTGGAGACCGGATGTCAAGATACCTTAAAGATCATCTAATTTCAACCCCTGCCATGGACAGGGGCACCTTGCACTAGACCAAATTGCTCCAAGCCCCATCCAAACTGGCCTTAAACACTCCCAGGGATGGGGCAACCACAACTTCTCCAGGCAACTTGTCCCAGTACCTCACAGTAAAGAATTTCTTCCTAATATCCAATCTAAGCCTACTCTCTTTCATTGTAAAGCCAATACCTCTTGTCCTATCACCACATGCCCTCAGAAACAGTCCCTCTCCAGCTTTCTTGTGGGCCTCCTTTAAGTATTGGAAGGCCACAATGAGATCTCCTTGGAGCTTTCTCTTCTCAAGACTGAACAACTGCAACACTCTCAGCCAGTCTTCACAGAGAGGTGCTCCTCTGATCACCTTCATGGCCCTGCTGTGGACTCGTTCCAACAGGTTCACCACCTCCTTATGCTAGGGGCCCCAGAGCTAGACACAGCAAGTTAACGTAAGCCCTGCTTATTCCCCACCCCTAAGCTGTGATCTGGCATTGGATGTTAAGCAAAGAAGTCTACAAGACCTCAGACAGCAGAAACCATTATCTAGGGAAACATGATTGACTGGTTTTCTTTTAAGAAATCTCTCTCATCCTGATAGTATCATCTGAGTCTTCTACCACCCAGCTCTTAGCTATTTCTTCCAATGAGTGCAGGCCTAGAATCTGTATCATGCATGGCCCAGGCTCCACAGACAGCTCCATAATGGAGAACCTACAAATAACTGATAGCAGACAGTCAGTCCTGTGCTTCAAACCCTTCCCATAACACTAGAACAAGTCCTTGTCTATTCCCTGCCTTAACTGATTTGTCGGCTATGACTGCAAACTTCCCAAGGCAAAGACTCTGCTTTTCTGTCACCCTGACCTTTCATAACATATAAATCTCATTTTCTGTTGAACTGAGGAGACTAATGAGGCATCGAGAGACTTTTTTTTGCAAGAATGCAAGATACAGCAGCAAATACAATGCTATCAAGACCCCAAGTGGCCCTCCAGATGCTGCCATCATGAAACAGAAACTAATTTCCAAAAATATTACCTGGGATGCCTTACCTGTACAGACACCACAATCAGTAAGCAGGTCTGGGCCATCAGAGCAAAGGACTGGTAGTCAGCAATGGCCTTCCCATCACTCCTCATTGTATTGTACATGGCCCCAAAGGGGATGAAGAAGAGGATGAGGGAACTGTAGATCCCTTGCAACATGCACTTGACAAACACCACTTTGTTAAAATAGAGGTTTTGCTGGCCAGGCACATATAGCTGAGGAAACAGCATGCTCCAACGATCATCCACATCCTGAAAGCAGCGAGGAGAGGGTCAGATTTGCTGGCAGCTACCCAACTGAGCAGATAGACCACTTAGGACTGCCATGTCCCTGTGACATGCATTTCCATGAGAAAAGCCTTAGCACACAATTCATTCAGTTGTGCTTACTAGCATGGCATATCCCAAAGTCACCTAGGCATACTTTCCATGTTGTATTTCATCTTTCTTGTGCTGAAAAAATTGACAGCTGATGAAAGAAGAATAATATGCACTTCAGCTAAAGCAGACTGCATGGTCTGCTCTCCAGAGAGAAGGTTTGGAAAATACTTCCCCAGGGTCAACACACAGGCAAGGCTCTCTTATTTGCATCTCTTAAGTGTCCAGAGCTGAACACTGGGAATCACTGCAGAGTAGCCAGTTCCTACTTAGTTAACTTGTAAAATACATATAGGAACAGCTTTATTGCTCCTATGTCTTGTCAAACAGTAACAGTGAGGTAGAAATGTGTGTGTGAAATTACCACAGAAAAAACTCTCTAGAAAGGCTGAACCTGGAAAATCTGGTTTCAAAGACCTAGCTAATTAATTGTTGTGTCTGGTCATTAGAAAGTCACTTGTCAGGCTTCAGGAACACAGCTAGTAGGATATGACTACTTCAGGGGAGTGTTGCAATGGCAGCTTGTACTGTAGGCAGAAGCCTAACCCAGAAGTCTCATCACACACTGAAACCCACAGACCAAATCAGGATAATCACAAAATTATAGATATCTCAAGTTGGAAGAGACCCATAAGGATCAGCAAGTCCATCTCCCCGTTCCTCACAAAATTACCTAAACCTAAATCATATGACTAGGAAGGAATACACCATCTCCCTTGTGCATCCTTCTTTTTGTGGTCTAAGTTCTCACTGGGAGGATACCATTTCAGGGGTTACCACAGTATCTAGCCAAAAGATCAGCTGTTTTTGCTTCATGGGACCAGCTCAAAGCACCTGGAGATAAAACCGCTATAAAAAAACATCCCAAAAGTGGTGACAAAAACAGTACCTGATCAAAGAGACTCATTCCTAGCACTGGGAGGGAGGTATATACCAAATTGTAAAGTGTAATGAACCACTCATCATAGACGGTCTGGAAAAAAAACATAACAGACATTAAGTTAGCAAAACTCTGTCTTTTCAATTTCTTTGAAAGTATATGCAATTAAATGCTGCAACACCTTGGTTTGAGATGTTACTAAGGCGAAAGGGATAAGATGACTCAAGCTCAGCATTCCTAAACAGGGGAGGGATCACGTTATACCAGCCCATTTTGCTCAGCACCCACTGCTGGCTGCAGCCAGAGCAGGATCCCTCTGCACCACCCTGCACCCCCAGCCCCTGACTATCTGCACTCCCCATGGCTGGGTTTGGTTGGAGGCTGGTTTGCCTGGAACGAAGTCCACTTTTTTCACTGTAGATGTGCTCCTCTTCCAAGCTGCTGACACACACAGGCATCTCAGGGTTAAACTGTTTGCTCCAAATATGCAAACAGGGCAAGCATAGGTCTTGCAAGATCTGCACCAAACTGTAACCTCTGTCATCAGCTGATGGTTGTAATCACTTCTGAAAACCCTGCAAGTGATGTGTGTGCTTCATAATGCACTTTAGTGGCAGGGAAGGTTTGTATTGAATATTAGGAAAAAATTCTTCACCAAAAGGGTGGTCTGTGTTCAAAACATGTGTGGATGTGGCACTTGGGTACATGACTTAGTGGTGAACGTGGCAGTGTTGGGTTAATGGTTGAGAAGTCTTTTCCAGCCTTAATGATTCTATGACTCTGTACATGTCTTCAGGCATCTGTCCTCCACCTGAAGCACAATGAATGCAGCAATATCTTCTTTATACCTATATGGCTGAAGAAGACAGACTTGGGTCCATTCAGTGAGGTAGGAGGAACGGCTTAGTTTATTTCCCTGTAAAATGTTTCCAGATACTCAGCTTGAAAACTCTAGACAGAATCATAGAATGGTTTTGGTTGGAAGGGATCTGTAAAGGGACCCTGCAATCAGCAGGGCCATGCTCAACTAGATCAGGTTACTTAGAGCCCCGTCCAACCTGACCTTGAATGTTTCCAGGAATAGGACATCCACCATCTCTCTGGACAACCTGTGTAAGTGTTTTACCACCTTCTTTGTAAAAAGCTTCTTCCTTGTATCTAATCTATGTTTAGTTTAAAACCATTACCCTTTGTCCTATCGCAATAGGCCCTGCTAAGAAGTTCCTCTCCAGCTCTCTTGTAGCCTTTTAGCTACTGGAAGGTGCTCAAAATTCTCCCCAGAGCCTTCTCATCTCCCAGCTGAACCACCCCAGCTCTCTCAGTCTGTCTTCACAGGAGAGGTGCTGCCCTCTGATTATCTTAGTGGCCCTGAAAAAACAGAAGCTGGACCTACCTGTGCTGAGAAGCCAGAGAAGAAGCCATACCAGAAATGCACTAAGGTGAAGGCAAAATTCTTATAGAAGAAGTATTTGAGGAACTTGCACATGCGGATGTAGGACCACCGGCCATGGACCAAGAGCAGGCGCTGCAGGTAACGGAACTGGGCAAAGGAGAAGTCACTGGACAAGACTGCCTGCATCCCCTCCTGGCCACTGATACCAACCCCAATGTGGGCAGCTGCAACAAGAAGGTTATTGATCACATCATTACACCGAGAGTTTTGATTACCCTGTTTTTAAAATCAGTTCCCTGCACTGGAGCACTGTGTTAATTCCCTCGCAGCCTTCATAAAAAGTCATATGCAAAGCCGTTTAAAAAAAAAAATGGCCTTGGAGCACCAATTCTTTCAGCAGCACCACGATTTTGGCTGGGTGATACATTTCCCATAACCGGGATTTTATTATTTGAATGAAATTCTAGGTTCAGTGACAATTTATGTTTTGTTTCTGAGCGCTTTCCAACAGCACAAATGCTGTTGTTCATAAAAGCTGCTGTTATGAAAAAATAAGTTTAATTTATATTGACATGTGACTTACTTTTTACATGCATGCACGTCCTTCCAGCAGCCTTAAAACATCACCCCAGACAAGCAAAATGTTCAAACCATTTTTAGATCTCTCAGACACTGTGCTACAAGGCGAACTGTAGCTTTTTTATATTTCCTGGGCTTTATTAGTTCAATCAAATAATTAGATAGAAGAGTCACTTCTTTTTTAATGGTAACTTGGGTTTATTAAACATGGACATAAGTTTAATGTGACATCTAATTATACAGCTTTAACTAATGAGAACAATCTTGATGGTTGGAGGTTGGTTACATTCAAAGCGACAGAACAGCGACTTGATAAAATCCCAAAGTCCCAGTCCTCTTGGTGGGGGGAGTGGGTAAGTTTCTAATTATCATGTTCACTTTAACTTTTCTTTGCCTTTCTTTGCTGACTGCCTGACTTATCTCCCTTGAAGCTCTCTACTTAGCGTTTTCTTTCTTAATTAAAAAGCTCCAGTTAATCAATTCGTGCAAATTAACACAAGGAAGATTAGCAATAGGCCTTCTGAATAATCTTAATTTAATTATACCTAGTTAGGGGATTTTTTTCATAAATTCACTCAGGTAATGCAGCATCAAATGATGCTCAAGGGTGAAAGGGCCTGGAAGCCCATCATTTATAACTCAAGGGAGATAATTAACAAACGGCCCTAACACAATGAAATGTTAACAACCCCCCCATAACATTATATAGACTATTTGCAGGCAGAAAGATTTTCTTTCTGCTTTGCAGTCAGGCCCTCTATGAAACAAACTTGTTATACATATTGCCCTTGTGATGGTGGACATGCAGACACAGATGGACACATCACAGCCCGGGTGGGCTTTTCATAGAATCATAGAATCATTTAGGTTGGAAAAAGACCTATAAGATCATCAAGTCCAAGCATTTTGTCTGTTCTAAGACAGAAACAGAGAAACAGACACTTAGTGCAACTTTGGCTTCCTGCCATCCAGTGTGACCTAGAAGGCAGGAGACACGAGTAACCTGTAGTGACAGTGTTCTGTAGAGACCTCCCAAAACCTGGGACACAGCCACTTGGTTCCTCAAAGAGGGTGGTACAGGAGGCACTCAGACACATGTTCTGCTGCTGGCCCACCTCAGACAGAAAATATACCAGCGAGTCAGTCTGCCAGAGCATATCACTCACTTTTGATCATGCTGACATCGTTAGCGCCGTCTCCAATTGCCAGGGTCACAGCCTTCTTGTACTTCTTCACCAGCTCCACCACCTGGGCCTTCTGCAGGGGAGTCACCCGGCAGCAGATCACCACTTTGCACATGCAGGCAGTTCTCACCAGCTCCAGCTCCAGATTCCCTTCCAGTGCATAAGCCTGAAAGGGAGCAAAGGGAGTGGTCAGGTCAGACAGGCAGCATCTCCTGGCTCACAAAGAGAATGCAGCGACGTGGAAATGAGAACTGAGATAGCTCTTCCATTCAGCAGAAGGTAGGTATGGGATATCCCAAGCGAATCCATCCACTCAGGCACAGGGAGCATCCACACTGCACATCATGCCACACAGCTTGCAGCTTGGGTGTGCCACACTTGGATTTGCACCACAGGTGGACATTACAACAGCTGTTCTGGCTGATGCAACCTGGTAGAGTGGCATGTCAAACACCAGGAGCACTAAATTAACGAAGCTGCTGCAGGGCCCGAGACAACCTTGTGTATCTCCATGCGAGAGAGTTTCTGCTCATCCCACCTGGATTATTATTTAAGCTCTGGGAGATCTGTGGTATAAATGGGAAAGACTTCAATTTAGGAGTGCTTAATTAAAAAAAAACAGAACATGAAAAATATTAAGCTCAGGTGAGCATGACAAAGCAAAACACAAAGTTAGGGAGAAGGCTGCTTTGCTCTGAGTGCTGACCTTTTAAATCAGTCAGCTGTGTTATTTCTATTCAGGAAGCACAGAGATAATTGGATGTCTGGTCACCCCTCCAGCTCTCTGTGAGGAGGAGGGAGCAGAGTTATCCTTTCATATTTCTTTCAGATCATGCTTTTTGGCTCAGTTCTTTGTTGTCTCCTTTTAGCAGACATGCACGGCAGGAATCTACAGGGTTCACTCCTCCTCAGAGCCATTACAGCAGGCCCACTGCTCTTTCTTGCATAAGGCACACACTCCACAGGCCATATATCCTTTCTTCTTGAAACAGAGAGCTGTGAGTCAACAGTGTCCCTCTATCAAGGGCTCAACAAGAGACATTTTCATGGCTTAGCTTTAGTACCACTGGTTAGTGCAGAGATGGCTTTTGCCTCAACATCCTCACTGTACAGCACCAGCAAAATGTTATCACGTCACATATTAAGGTACTATTGCCACAGATCAACTGCTATGATGATGCTATTACAGATGCTGCTGATGTGTTTCTGTTCCCTTGCTTTGTTCAAGGAACATCAGAAGTGTGAATAGCCCCAGCGCTGCCATCCCACCCATCTGCAGGTAGGGATACAGCACTGAGCAGATGCTGTGTTTGAGTGGGACAGTATCAGCACTACTACCATTGTTCAAGCTCACAGAAATAAATAAATGACATCTAGTTTTGTCTGCACTGTCTTTGTGGTCACCACCCAGGAGAAAGCCATGATATTGGTGAGACTTGTGTCCACTCTATGTGGACTGGCTGCTCCCACACAGCTCAGATTTGAGTTTCTTTGTGTGGGACATATCCCCTTGCCATGGTCTGCTTGAGTCTGTGGCCTTTCAGGAATAAAAAGAAAGCTTTGCCACTGCTGCCAGTGGTGCTTTAATAGCACAGCACTCAGGGTCTGAGTGGCTGGGGGCTGGAGTAGGAACCGGCAGGGGCTTGCAGCTGATTTCCACATGATGCAGATGTACCGAACCTGACAGAGCTCTTGTCTGCTTTGCAGTGGGGATATAAAGGGGATTATGGCTCTGAAGGTAAAGAGTGAGTGAGTGTAAAAGAGGGAAAGAGGGTACTTAACAACATAGACACTGTCTGGAAGTGTTCAGGGTCTGTATATGGAGTCACAGAATCACAGAACAGGGATCTGAGTTGGAAGGGATCCACAAGGATCATCGAGTCCCTCTCCTGACCCTGCACAGGACCATCCCCAAGTGTCTCACCATATGCCTGAGAGTATCATCCAAACGCTTCTTGAACTCTGTCAGGCTTGGGGCTGTGACCACTTCCCTGGGGAGCCACACAAGCCAAAAATAGAGCAAGGTGAGATGTTTCAATTAGTAATTTGCTGGGCTGGTATAGACCTGGGAGTGAAATTTGCTGGACTGCCATCAAGAGAGGTAGCAACCACAGAGAACAGAATTTCTGAGAGCAGCACCTCCCAGTACCTTCCACATCTACCTATTTGCTTTCCCTGAGATCTGGGAAAGTAAAATACAACTGATAAATAAACCTGGTATAAACTAAGCCTTCCTCCCAAACAGGTTTAAATTGATCTAAATCAGCTTTTTAATCTAAATTGTTCTAAAGAATTGTGAAGTATGGGAAAGCTGTTCTAGGGCTTCAATATCCTCACCAGGAAGACATTTCACCCAAAACTCTCTTATCTTAGTTTAATTCCATTACTTTGTTTACCTGTTATTATTTGAAGAGTATTCCCATGACTGATCAGTATTCTCCAGGCTCAAAAATTTTAACTCTTTCAGTTTTCTCCTATGCTTTCCAGATCTTCCATGACTACTCTTAGTTTTCTTTGGACTCTCTCCCAGCCTGGTGTTACCTACTCTCTTTTTAAGCAGTTAATAGATGTGGGATAACCCTTATTGTCTAAGATTAGAAAGTTAACTTGTTTTAGATCAGTTGTGAGCCCTTAAGAGCCACACTTCACAAGCAGTCTTGCATCTGTCACTTAACAATTTCATCTAGAGCATATCACTTCAGTTTGCTTGGAAGAAATCATGGGAGAGAGTATCAAATAATTTATTAATTAAGTTATAAGATCTGTATCCTATCTGTTAGGCTTATCTCTTATCAGATATATTTAGTAGAATATGTTCTTGGCATACTTTAAACCCATATCTAATGTTATCTTCTTGCTGCATACACAAACTACCTGGTTATTTTTTTAGTATCTTTCTGAAAATTAAAATTATTCCAGCTACTCTACCCCTCTTGTTCACCAAAGATCAGGGCTGGCTCTTCCCTGTTCTAGTCTTCTGAAACCTTGTCTGTCACCCTGGATGTCTCAGATATCCACTGAACCTAATCTAAGTGACAGATGCAATTTTTTTAAGGGAAAAAAATTCCTGTCCTCTAGAGTTACATTTTTAAAACATTTTTCTGACATTCAGCATGTCTTCCAGTAAGTTCTTCAGGGAACTCATTCCTCACAAGGCTCTGAACCTTCCTTACCAGGCTGTGGCCAGTGATAACCAGACCATACACCCCATTTGCTTGCTCATCAGGTATAATTTTTGGTTTTTTTGAAGATTTTTGAAACTGAATGTTGATTTCATCACTGTCCAGAAAGGAGTCTGGCTTCATCTTTTTCCTTGCATTCCTAAAAAAAAAAATAAATCCAGGATAATAATGAAAATCTTGTGACGTTATATATGTTTTCATAAACTTTATGAAAACAAAAAATTGATGTTTCCTTCTAATAGTTCATTTTAATTTTCCCTGTATCCCTACAACAACATGCATTGTTTCACTGCTGCCATTTGTGCACATCATCCACCTGCTTCTGAAACTCTGACAAGTGTTGCTAACCTTTTGCTGATTTAAAGTCAAACTGAGTGTCTGAATGTCATGAAGGATGGTGTCCCAAAGGGCATCCAGTTTTCTGAGCATACTGTCTGGCAACCATGTATTCCTACAGAAAAGGACTGAAAACCTTCCCCATTTTCCACGTACACCTAAGAACTCGTGTCTACAGAGGAGGTGAGGGAGGAAGGTAGGTTCTCACACACTGCCAGAAAAAGACCACATCCAGACAAAGGACAGCGATGCGGATAAATGGCAATAACTGTAGAGCAACAGCATAGCTCAATCCTGAAGCCAAAGCCTTTGTGGCTCAAGATCACTTGCTGGTAAATGTCAGCTGATAATGCCTGTCTGATTCTGCTTTCTTATACATTTATTTAATTTGACCTCTTGTATTAAGAAGCTTCAGCATTTACTCTTAGAAGAGACTTCTACATTGTGTTTAGCTAATCGATCTTCCAGGGAGCCAGCTAGCCCTTATCTAAGGTCCCCGAATGAACTGCAACAAGTAAAGCTGACAGGAAAAAAAGGTGGCATGATACAAAACACAAACAGTGTTAATGCACGGCAGTGTAACTGTGTATTTCAGCCATTTACCTCAGCTTATTCCGGACGTCATCAGATGTGCTGCCGTCAATAATGAAAACATCTTCCATGTCATCGTTCAGCAAGTTGCAGGAGTAACCAATATTCACTGCTGTTTCTGGAAAAGATAAACCAGGAAGATGAGCCATCTTAGCAGGCCCAAATTCACCCAAGCCCCTGCCTGTTCCTACTCCATCCCACAGCCATGCAGACCTTGAGTGGCCTTTCTACACACGTGGCAAAAGCTCTCTTTCTGACTCAAAAGAGCTCAGAGCCTTTCAGAGTCAACAATAAGAGAGCCAGGAGAGTCACTTTGATGGATGTAATAGCAAATCTCCCTTAACTGGGCTTCACAAGGCCACAGGAAAAAAAAATTCTGCCAAAAAGAAAAAGCTCAAAACACCCTTTGGCCAACGTGCTTGGAACAACAAAAAACATTTCATGTTGATTCAAAAATCTTTTCCAGGATTTTTAACTTTCCCTCTCACTACTTCCAGAAAAGCCCCAAACCATAGCTCTCAAGAAGAGTATAAAGGCATTTTGTTCATAACATTTTGAAAAACATATTTTGGTATCTTATAGCAAAACTGTTGTATTTGGAACATGACAAAATGAAATGTTTCATTTTTCTCAAAAATTGTCTGCTCATTTCTTGGATGAAATTATTTGCAAACACTTTTGGCCTCCCTGAAACACCATTGTTTCAGTGAAGTTACTGTTTCTCCAAAAGAATTCACTGGAGTCTATTTACCATTCTTTCCAACTCCAAAAGCCTATGTTTCCTCCATTTCTATTCCGGATCATTAAAGCCAGGACCAAACTGAAATGTACCCAACATCCACTTTGATGTTAAAGTTTCTGGAAAGCAGGACAAGATTTTTTCCAATTTCTTCACTGGGACGGTCAACTGTACTAAAGTGACACCTTTTCGCAGTCAGGGACCATGGGATGCTTACTGTCACCTCTCCAAAGGCAAAGGATGCTGCCTTCACCCTGCTTCCAGCCTCAGGACAGAGTGTAAGGATAGACACTAACTACAGTTAACTAGTCTAATTCCAGTTAAGAAATTTTGCCTAGGTGGCAATGAAGCAAAGCCCTGTAAGTTTGTCCTATGTGCAGTTTTTAAAGAAGAATGAGAATGCAGGTCTTAGCAGAACCATCCCACCAGTGGGAGAGAAGAGAAGCATCCAAAGCTGTAGTGGCCTCACCTTGCTTATCTCCAGTGAGAACCCATATCTTGATGCTGGCTTTGGCAAGAGTCTCAATTGTCTGTGGGACTCCATCCTGTAGCTTGTCTTCAATCGCTGTGGCACCTAACAGCTTAACAGAAAACAGTGGAGAACTGGTTAGTTGTCCCATTGTTAGCAAAGGAGAAAGCATTACCTAGAGGTAATTACTCAAGGAGGCACAAATGAAATCCAGAAATAAGGTTGTACTGATTTTCATTCTTCCTCAGCAAATTTAGTGTACAGAGCATAACCCTAATCCTGCATATGTTCTAGTCTCTAATGCCCAGGGCTCTGAAGGATTACGAACATGCATGAAATTATTTGCCAGAATGTTTGCAGATCTACAGGTCTGTGTTCTTCCATGTGTTCCCTTCACAGCAGACAGAGCTTTAACAGATGGACAAAGGCAGCTGTGGATCCATGCCCCCAGACCTCCATATGCATCCTCTTGCTTGGAGCTTGCTCCCAGCTATGTTGTACTGCAGCTGTCACATGGCTGCTAAACATCTTCTCTGCCTTTAACAGACATGTCCCTGCTGCTGCTGCACACAGTCACACAGCTAAACCACAGACTGCTCAGAACACAAACCTTCATTATTTTAAAGTTATTGGTTTTTTCTGCATTTTGGAAATAATTGGCGGCTTTAACCTGTTGTCAAAGGGACATAAAGATTTCACTGCTAGCTCAGGTTTAGACAGCATCTGCTACTACTTACCTCCTGCTGCTGGGAGACTAAATTCAAAGGTTGGCTTTAAGCCCAAGATCCCTTTTGGTACCCTGGGATGTCCATCATACATCACCTATGAGCATTATCAATGTAGGCAACAGCTCTGATGGAACTTCTCTATAGAGTCCTCAAAATTGTACAGTCCCCATTTTACAGTAGTCCCTGATCCAGTTAGAGAGAACTCAAATGCTATGGCTTAAAAAGTCATGTCCTGAGATCACCAGCTCATCCTTGGCAGCCTGAGTCTGAGCTGGAAGCCCAAAGTTGGACATTGATAAACAAATGTGCCCAGGAAGAGAGAACAAGAGCTTCCATTCCCTACTGCCATCATCTTTGTGGAGCTGCAGAAAGGCACAACAGGAGCATTATTAACAGGCCTTTGGTTTGTCTGTCCATGATCTGGTGTAAAAAAAGCTGGAGAAAAAGCCATGATGCCTTCTTGACTATGGATCTTCCTTAACTTTTAGGTCAATCAATAATAAATACTATTTTACTACTATTCTCTGAATCTATCCATGTTCCATCCCTTGTGTCCTTATATCCTTACCCCTCTAGGGACCCCTAGCAGAAACCTGCCACACAAGGGACTTCTGCTCTTGGACATCAACCAGACCATGATACTTGGCAGTCCTCTACACCTCCACAAGACCCATCTATGTCCTCACTGACTCTGGTTCTCACAAGCCAGGCTCTACATCCACCCTCTGCTCTTCCCACAGCATCTTTGGGAAGTGACTCCTGTACAGTGAAGGTTCTTGTGTAAACAGTGTTTTATTCTGAGCCACACTTCTTCCTGCTGGTCTTTTCTCTACTCAGGCCATGAGCTTCACGACATTTTCTTGCAAAGCAGCTGGACACTCCAGCCCCTAAACCTCCAAGTCTTTCCTGCTTTGAACATGCCCCACAGAGCAGTTACACAATTTTTATGGGCATTTTTCACTATTCTATTGAGACCTATTTTCCACTATTCTGTTGAGACCCAGAAGGGCAGTAGACTGCCCCCTGGGCTACGCAACTTCCAGAGGCCAGCATCTCCTCACACTTGTTTCTTCCCTGGGTCCTGCTGGCATCCTGAACACAGGGTTAATGGAAGGAGAAAGGGTGTGTTTCCCAGGATTTCTGAGATTTTAGCAAAGCACTGCTGCTGGTGCAAAAGCTCAACTTCTCCTCAGATCCCATATATCCTTTTCATCCATAATTCATGCCTCTAAAACACAGGCAGATCCCCCAGGGCATTTAAAAGCTGTAACAACACTGAGGGAGAGTAGAATGCCTTGAAGATCACAGTTTAGCTCTATTTCAAATTGACACAAACATGTTCATGGACATCATCTACCCCTCCTGCCCAGGGCTGCAAGAACAAAGGAGATGCTCTCTGAAACCAAGGGGCACTGGGGGATTATTCACTGCCTGCCATTTCAAAGGCTGGAAAATAAATAGATCAGCCATTTGCACATACAAAGGATAGCTATGAAATATTTGTGTCCACGTCATCTCACGCAGGCTCTGGTATGTCATTTCATCACGAGAAAGCTACTCTGACACCCACATGAGTTAAAATAAAACCATTTCCCTGCACTGGTGGCTGACACTCCAGTTACAGGCTCCTGATGGAGGTGCCCGTGAACAGCCAGGACTGCCACGTTCTGAACTGCTCCTGTCACACAACCCACTGAGCTGTTTGCAGAGCAATGTTTGCTGAAGTCAGACTGAGCTGTTTATTGACAAACCACCATCCTCGCTGCCTCCCCCAGAGCTTGGCCCAGATTCCTTAAAGTACCAACCATTAGGTCTTTTTCAATCTCTTCATATAACTCTGACAGTTTTTCTTCCCGTCCTTCCAAGGCAGTGCTTGCTTCATGGTGGCGCCTGATCCAATCCTGAAAATAGTCTTTCTCCAAGTTTTTATAGGCCACCACAAGTGTCCTCAGACCTTCTCCAGCAAACTCCTGCAAGACAGTGGTGAGACAGAAAGGTCAAAGCAGAACAGTCTGGTCACACCGGCTTACAAAGGACTCTCAGAAAGCACACTGTAAAAAGTATCTTGCCTAAAGTTTGCAGAGGAAAGGTGAAAAAAATCACACCTTAGACCACAAAGTTTGGGTTACTTACAAAAAGAAATTCCAGACCGCTTGTCATTGCTATTCATGGCCCTTACAAAGAAAAAACTCAAAAGGGCTTTCCTACATTCTGGCTCCAAAGATTTAAAGTAACCAGACAGTTGTTTCCCAGGCTCATATTTTTCAACAAAGGTCCAGAACAGTGAGATCTAAATAAACCTTGAACACAGGCTTGAATTTTGGACCTGGGCTCAACATTTTAAGGGCACAAATTCTGGCTGAAATGCACAGCATAAGAACAGCCAGTCATAGCAGCTCAGCAAGTCCTTATAACTGTGTTTTATGATGGATAGTATGGAGCTCAGCGTTTGGTGCAATAGCAGAGATACGTTTGTGAAAATGGAGGTGTTCCCCCAGACTTGAAATAAAGGTGCATCAGGAACAGGCCACATCCACAGCTCTGTTCTGCCCTTTTCTTTGCCACCAACTTTCTCTGACTCCCCCAGGCAGTGAGCAGAGATGTTTTTTCTATTACACAACCCCACTGGCAAAACTCTCTGTTATCTTGTGCTCTGCAACATTATCAGCAGGATCTGGAATCTCCAGGGAGAGTAAATACTGGCCAAAACATCCCCTTATGTGAATAACAACCTCCCAGTGCACACCATCAACAATATAAAAGGCTGCAAGTTCGAGTGATGCTTTTTCCTTGCTAGATCTGGAAGAAGAGACCTAAGGCTATATAAATTAATTTGCCTCTCTATTCCATAACTAAAAAATTGGTGCTTAGGTGCTATGTCTGAAATCTGGGGTTTTTGTGTCAACACAAAGTATGCTTCTGCACCTGGAGAAAAGGAAATGATCAAATGCAGAGATGTTGTTGAGAAGGAAGCACTTACATTCAGGTGTTCTGTGGTTTCCTCTTTGAGAGATTCACAGGACGAATTAAGCAGTTCATAAAGAATGGTGTCAGCCCCCTTGCAGTACAAAGTCAAGTCACCTTCTGGACTCTGCACTATGAGGGAGAGGAAAAGAAATGCTACAAATCCCAAGTTGAGGCTTTTGGGATTCACAGCCCTTTTATGAAAACAAAGACAAGTTTCTAGAGGTGTCTGAATTCTACAAGGTTTTGGCAAACTCCCAAGGAATCAAGACAAGCTCTGCTTAGAAAAGAAGATAGTGTGACTACTCTCCACCTTAGTGGTAGCAGCACAGCAACTGTACCCAGACTGCATTAGTCTGAGCAGACACTCCTTTGGCCTACGTTGTTCCTACAGGCAGCACTTCAGGCAGCACATCTACATTCAGAAGTTAAGAACAATTTTTTTTTTAGGGGACTGGTCTTACTGCTCCTATTTCTTCCATGAGTAAACTGTAACTACAATATTCCAATTCCTGAAGTAACTAAGTATGTTGGAGGGTTAATAAAGGCTACAAAAAGGGGTTTTGATAATTTCTGCATTTTCTGTTTGGGAAGGTGGGTTTCTCAGTTCATCCTTTCTCCTTTCCTACTTCCTCAGATTTTACTGATAATTTCAAAGCTGGTTAGAAGGAAGGCCTTTCATGCATTGTAATGAGGGAAGCAACATATACAAAAAGCTTAGTGTCTTCAGGAGGCCGGAGCAATGTTCTTCCACCTGCTTTTCTAGCACTGCTGCTGTGTAATGGAAAGGTCAAGGCAGCCCATCTCAAGCCCTCAAAAGTAAATGTTACTATGTTATTCATAGAGCATTGCAAAGGAGGTCTCCTAGAAAAAGGCATCATAGCATAATGAGGGACAGCTCCAGAGGCTAAAAGGTCAGGAAGGAAAGAAAGGAGCAAAGGGAACATACCAATCACAGACATTCGCTTGCGAACATTGTTGAAATCAAGAATAGCCAGAAGTTTGTAGACTTTTGTTTCTCCCATTTCTACAACAGTGATGGTCTCTGGTGTGCGAGCCCGGAACACAAATCCAAAGTTTCTGGCAGCAGTGACAAGGGCTCCCTCGTCAGGAGATTGGGCCTGATACACCAAGCTACCTGACATGAAAGGAAAAAAAGTGTAATGTGTTTTTTGCCTTTTTTCTGAGCTAAACGAATACAAAATTAAAGATATTATACAGCAGTAATCCCTTTGCTTTTCTGTCTATCTGCAGAGGCGTAGCACTGCAAAGCACCTTATGTCCACACATCTCCATCAAGTCCCACCAACCCATCCTCCAGGACAGTGCAAGAGGTACCCTAGATTCTTCTGGGGTCTTTAATCACTCTCTTTGGAGTCTAACAGACCTCACTGAGAGGACAAGTTCCTTGGGTTCAACCCCTTCCAGTAATATCTGCATGTATTTTTCACATTAGTATTTTCACCTTCAATCTGTCAATTAACAGCTGTAGCCTTTAACGCATGGTTTTCATCCTGTCTGGGATTTGAGGAGGCTGATCCAGTGCCTGTGAGAACACCGGGTGAGAGGAGCTAATGAGTCTCCAGTGGATAGGTGCTCTATGTTCTTTGCCTTATGGGACTAGGAGCAGAGTAGAGAAAGAGTGGGGCAAGCATCTGCCACCTCAGGGAAGCTGTGGCACCTGCAATGTCCGCACTCCAGAGATGTGGTGTTTGCGGTAGTGTCAGCTCCACCACAGGAACACACAGAGAGTGGAGGCCCTGGTCCTTTCTCTTCCCATGTGGCATCTCCAAAGACATTGATTTATGTGTAGTCATACACTACAGAAAATCACCAGGGAGCCAAAAGGACCAATAACAGCTTCTGTGGAGAGAGGACATACTGTGGTGCGAGTGAACATAACCACTCAGTCTGGTGCCTCCAACAGTCCTCACCTTCCTTCTTCTCCTCTGGCATCACTGTGTGACAAAGTGAGAGCAGTCGGAAGAACCTGTGCGTTGGGACATCATTCCGCTTCACAGCATCAACCAGGCTTTGGTCATAGAATGCAAACTTTGGGTCAGCCAGCGGGTTGTACGAGAAATCAACCTTCTCTGTGTTCTGCAAAAACATGGCTTGGTATTATTTGTGGAGCTCTTATACGCCGGTCCACCAGTGCCTGCCAACACAGCCCCTCTCTCCTCCTCACATTTGCAAAGCACCTACCCTGCAGGGCTGCTCATAACAGAGATTGGTGGATCTAAGTGGGAGGTCACGAAAGCTATCTAATCATAGGACAGGATATGCCTTTAAGAGCAGCACGCAGGCTGAGAACCAATGAGCTAAACTGACTCTCTGAAAGTCAGCTAATGTTCCTATAGGATCTCTGCCAATGGATTTCTACAGCAAAGAAGTGCCTGCCTTCAACACATGCCTTCTTGGAGGCATCATGCTCCTGACGTCAAAGGCTGCCTGTGACAGTGCAGTGTGGGAGCCCAGTTTAAAACAATTCAAAAGGCTGTCTTCTCCACCCTATTCTCCCAAAGCAAGAAAAAATCCAGATATGGAAAAAATAGGACAGATGAGTGATGTAAACGTTAAATTCCACAGGCACTGCCCATTTTGTCAAAAGACAAGGAGCCCCAAGCAGAGTGGAACATGCTGGAGAAGTGGCCAGAAGCTCACAGCATGATGTGTCATGGAGAAATGCACTGCCAAGCCTGTCTGGGACACTTCTGAGTCCTGCCCCATCCCTGATGAGCTCAGAGTTTCCAGGATGGGAGTCATCCTTCTGACCTCTGCACGCTGACATCTAGCACTTAGCACAGATCCACACCTCCCACACTCATCTGCACAGCAAGATCCAGGCACAGCAATATCATGGATATGTGGGCAGCAGGACTCTGCTCCAGAGAGTACCATGGACAGGAGGGTGGGGTGGACGATTGGGAGGAGTCCAGCACGTGTCCCCAGGCAAGGCCTGGAGGCACAGCAGTCAGCACAAATAGCCAATTTCAATGGGTAATTTAAGTTCTCAATGACCTGAAAATGAATCACTGGAATGAGGAGTGGGATTTTCATCATTTTGCGGTTTGTTATTTGGATTACTGCATGTAGGTTCAGACATTTTAAAAATAAAAACATGTGCATCTGTGTCAGCAAGCAGAGGCTAAAGAGAAATGTAGAAGTCAAATGTTTTCGTACTTTACAAAGTCCAGACATAAGAGGAATTTGACAGTGACCTTGTTACTGGTATGAACAGAACTCACTAATTTCCCACCAAAGCTTTTATTAACTGCCAAGGTTAATAAAATTCACCAGTGTCAAAGTTTCCAACAAACTTGGCCAAATACTTGGCTGAGTATCGATGGCCAAATATTCAACAGAAGCTGTGCATGCAATAGGATGTCATATGAAGCAGAGGGAACAGTGGGCCATTCCCAACCTGCAGGTTTTAAGCCAGGCTTACTGGAAAGGAATGTAACTGGCAATTCTCTGACATCCAGAGGAACACACATCACTGTTATCAGCATCAAGAGCATCAGCTCTTGCAGGGTCAAGAGCATGAGCTATGCTTTTGTGGGTTGCGTCCACTGGTACTTAGCCAGGTTCACTGAAGGCACAGATCCTGATAGCACTTAAGCACTTACCTCATTTATCTCTACCCTGTGCCCAGACATATCATACACATCACCTGCAAGCAAGAAAGACCGAGGTTATAGCCACAAATTCTGCATAAGTGCAGTCTCTGAACTTCTCTACCATGAAAACTGGTTACAGTGTTTCTAAGCAAGTATCTATTGAAAAGGTTTCAGTAAGCATACATATCTTGACATGTGTACTGGAGACTGATGATACATAGCTATCAGTTTCTACGTTAATCCATGGTAAAATCCAGAGACTGACAGATCTTGAAACACAAAACAGTAACCATAAAAATGATTGGCTTTTGGGTAAAGAAGACGTGGCTCAAGCTGAACCCGGAGATGACTTAGCGCTAGGTAAGAAACAAAAGTGCTTTCAGCGAATGACTTCTGTTGTACCTTTCCTTTTGAATGTGAGACAAAATCCAGCTCCTGGATCGTACTTGGTTTGCAACAGAAAATGAGACAGCCACAGAAAATGACTTTTCAAAGCCCATTCTTCCCACACCTGGGTAGCAAGGCTGCTCTACTGATTTTCCCTGAACTGATGACCTGGTCATAGGAATACAAGACATTTCAGCTATAGGAAACACTATTAAAACTTCTGCCTGAAGAAAAGTTTCACTCTGAAAGTCTGGACTGTGCCCAGCCCAGCCAGTCCCAACACTTAGCTGAAAAAAGAGTGAAATGCAATGAATTACGCAATATATAGACTCGTATCTGCACCAGCAATCTCAACTGTGACCGAAGTTAAATGCAGTGCTTGTGGGCCTTCCCAAAGGCCCTGAGAGTGTAGAAGAAACTTAGATGCCATCTCTCCTGAGAACTGCATATCAGTTGATCCCTTGGGAACTATAGCCAAGAGGTTTTTGGACATCTCCTTCCCTTAAGCCTCCAGAGTACCTTTCCTGACATCAGAACTAATTCATTCTGGCATATGACTCTGAGCAGCAAATCCAGAGAAGTACAGTCCTAGGAAGAAGCTAAGCATTTTGCAAAACTATAGGCAGTAGACTGTTTGCCTTCTTTCCACATATTTCTCATTCATTTCTTGAACCCATTATGTTAGTGGTGAAATCCACTTTGGAGAAGACATGGAAGAGATTTCATGATGGAAGAGATTTCAGACTGTTTAGCAGCATTAATGTTAGTTATCATAGTAGCACTGTTAGAGGTGTGGTGGTCCCCAAATATACACAAAACCAGATTCATAGGAAGAAATAACTTCTTTTATTAGGTCAGCTGATAGCATAGAGAAAAAAAGGCAAACTTCAACAGGTCTGACACAGGCAAAGGAAGCATCCATCTGCAAATAAGCAGAAACTAATTTCTCTGGGGCATCTAACGATGTTAATCAATTAGTCAGTTTGCAAGGTGTTAGCACCTCCTGAGCAGTGTGAAGAAAATAGTTTGAGGCCATGCAATAAACAAGCCGTTTAAATCAATAACTTCTAGGATCTAAGTGAGATAAATTTTTTTTCCTATTTTATCCAACTCCCTGCAAACTTTTCTCTCTTCTGGTAGGTGAAGTATGTCAAGGCTAAAGACAAAGACCAGGCCATTGACTAGTCCAGCTATCTGAAAAGGATGTGGAAAATTGCTACTCACGACATGAGAAATTGCTGAACGTGAGAGGCAACACTATGAGAAGCTGACAAAATTTGCAGATAACATGCTGAGGGATGGCTGATTTCATAAGTGGTTAAGAGGGAGTTAGTTATGTGTGTTAAATGTTATGTTTTGTGCAGGGTTAGCAATATCTGGGTAACCATGTCAATAATACCATAAAAAATGAGATTACCTAGGTAGTGATATCAGAAAAAATCCCCAAATTTGAGTACAGATGTAGTAAATCTGGGACTTATGGGGCAAAGTAATAAAGTGCTGATTCTGTAGTTTGGATGACAGAGGGGCAGAAAAAGGGAGATAAAAGAGTGGTAAAAAGGGGGAAACATGGAAATTATATTAAGATATGCAAATGATCCAGTCAGGCTGTCCAGGCATCCCTGATGGGCAGCCCTGCACTTGATCACTGCAGTTTCTTACATGACACTCTTCTGGATATCAGATTTAGTCTCTGCAGACCAAGAGGCATACAATGAAATAAAACTCCAAGAATAAGACAAACGGATAACATACCGTAGGATTTGCCATTGATGGAGCACTTGTTGAAACACATGATGTTCTGAGTGAGAGTTCCTGTTTTGTCTGAGAAGATGTACTTGATCTGTCCCAGTTCTTCATTGAGTGTAGTGGTTCGAGCCTGAGCCGGTGTATCATTCAGCGGATAATACATTTTACGGTCCCAGTCGATGTAGAAACTGTTACCCAACCGTATAATCTCTACACTGATGAAATAGAAAGAGAAGGTGATGGAATATTCATTAGTTTAAGGGACAAGATCTTTATCTTCAGCACCACCATTAACGACTGTAATTAGAAGACAACTTTGAAGGTAATGACAGGTTGAACTCATCTGTCCTTAGATGGCTTGCGGTAAGGGATGCTGAAGCAAGTCCCGCTGAAACAATCTGTTAGGTTTATAGCAAATTCCTTTCCTTCATTTATAAAACAACATCTTATAAATGTTCTCGGAAAGTTTCAGAAGTTTTCAGACAGAGAAGAGAGGCAGGAGCAGTGGGTTTCACTTAGTGCCATTCCAGGAGATGGTTTCCAGCAGGGCTCTGAGCTGGGCTCAGCCCAGTGCTGAGGGATGAGCACAACCATGTCTCAAACAACACAGAGCTCCACAGCATTTGAGCCATTTTGTCACTCAATACAACCAAAGAGAAGCATCAGCTTGCAGACAATATGGATTTCCACCTTGCTGCTGGTGTGACACACTGGACAGGAATGGTATTCATTCCTCTAATTTACCAACACAAAAGAGAGTCTCAGCACCAAAGCTGACTGAAGAATGAGGTGCAATGATAAACTAAATAGGGCTACTCAGTCTATACCCCAGCCTCAAGATTTTGAGAGCATCATAGACATATTGCCTAGCTGTCACCCCCAGCTTGCCTACCTGCAATAACCAACAGAACCCTACATTCTCTGTGAAGAGGCAGCACTCAGACAGCTGATAAAACACCAAGTACTATGGACCTTTAACCTAATTACACCTACTTACCTGGCCATCCACAATGCCACCTCAAAGAACAGGCCATTCCCTTTGATGGGCAGTGAAAAGAGCAAGAAGATGCTCACTGTAGCAGGCTTCCAGCCTTGCTCCTATAGCATCCTACAGACCTACACCTCCGCTTTAACTGCAAAATCATCCTCTCCTCTCCCAGGGCTCACTGCTGTCCCCACTCCAACCCTGATAAAGCCCTGAAGGCAGCAGAAATAAGAAAAGCATCTCTCTGGTTGTGTGCAATCATTCACAAGGGGGTTGCATTTGGGTTTAGGGAAAATGCTGCTCCCAGCTAAGGCAAAAGCTAAAACTTAAGATCAAACGTGAAAGGAGCTTCTGGCACATACCTGACATAGAGTGAAATCGGTACCACTGTGTTTAGAATGATCACATATGACCAGAACATGAGGAAGCCGGAGTAGGAGGCAGAGTTGACACCTTCTGCCCAGGGCAGATATACCTGGAAGTAGTAGCCCTTATCATGCTCCCAGATGCCATTGCCAATGGCTAGGATGAGACACATCAGTCCTAAAAATGCAAAAATCTGAAAAACAAACAAACGAACCAACCAAATCAAAATTAAACAAAAAGTACTGCATTTTAGAAACAAGGAATTTATTATGTACAGATTAAGGAAAAGACCCTAATGAGACTGGGCTGGGTAGCCTGAATCATAGGAAAATGTACCTAGGGATGAAGAGGAAAAAACAGTGATGTTATGACACTTTTACCTCACAAGAACAAAACTACACAGTGTACAGAGTATGGCAGTTTGGAATTACAAGTCCTCAAACAGCTGGGGATTTAAATCACAAGCAGACTTCTCAACTAGGGTGATCATGGTCAGTCACTTGCAGAACATTAGACCTAATTAGAGGTGAGTTGGGCTGAGGGTCCCCAAATATCTGTCTGTACACTTGGAAATAGAAACTGCCTGGAGGACTTTACCTGGCCATTTGCTGGATGCATCATAGTCTTTCTCACAATTTCTGAGAAACAACTAAGGATAACCCAGCACTGTGCAGTTAGGAATTCAGCACTGGATATCACTCTAATGATTAAAAGAGAGTTAATTGCTGACTTAAAACTAAGGGTTGCCTTGGTGTCTGCCCTCACAATTTGATTACATTTCCTTTGAGCAAACAGAAAGCAACACTAACCAGTGATGTGTATCCTCGGACTTCACAGAAGCCTGTTTCCTGAAGCCTAAAGCAACCAGGGGAACAGCAACTGGGAAGCAAATTTCAAAGTGGGACAACTTAGTGAAAACTGGGGCTTGCTTGTGAACACTGGTTTATAGACACAAAAGTAATATATAGGACATAAAGCATTTTTGATTAAAAGAAGACAAGAATGTGGCAATATTACTTGAAAAAGAATAAAACAGACTGGGAAGAAGGAAATTTAACAGAAATTAATATAAACTGCAAGGAATATAGAACTATGGATATCTAACAGCCATAAAATATCAAGAAAACAAAAAACACCACATAATAACTGTAAGGTCCATATAATAAAGTCCTGTCAATTGCTGTGTGACTTTTTCCACTCCTGAAACCGCTCCCATCCTGAATATTGCTCCTTCACAGTTGTGTGAAAAGCAGACGTGTTAACAGTCAGTCCTCCAAGAGGAAGGAGGAAGAAGGAATAAGGAAGTATCTATTCCCTATGATGTAACAGATGGAAAAGACAGATTGTGGTCACTGACAAAGAACAACACTATGTGGCTCTATCTGCTAATAAGCATTTGCAATGCAGTGAGTCCATGTAATTTAAAGATGGAAGCTTAGAGGAACCAATAAGGTTAATTTTTAACAATGCTTTGAAAACTGGGAAGCTCTGCCATCCTGGAAATCTGCTAACATAATTGCAATGTTTGTAAGGTAGAAATGGTGTTGGTGGGGAAGATAAACTGCAGTTAGTTAGCTTGACACCCTTCCTGGACGAATAATAATAAAATTATTCTTTAGACATAGATTTTTCCAAACATTTGACATAAAACAACTAATGTAGTAATAAAAAAGTGAAGACATGGAATCAACAGGCTGCACAAAAGAGCAATTAAAAATCATCTTTTGGAAGTATAATCATTAGGAAGGAAATATCAGAAAGTTGGGCCATTATGTAAAGGCCACTCAGTAACAATCACATTAAAACAGTGATCAACCTTTATAAAAAACAGTAATTGAGATACAAACATAGAAACCTTGATGGTAAAACTAATATTTGTACTGCTGAGGTAATCTGTGAGAGGAAGAAGGATACTTTTATGGAGCAATATGAATCATTTGGTGAAAAGTTCATGCCTGATCAACTCCAGTTTTAATACCAAGAAGTAACTAAAAAGGAACTGCAGTAAGAAAAGGCGCTGGGCTGAGTTTCAGGGGACACATTTATTTCCCACATGAGTAGTAGCTTTTCTATTTAATTGTGAGAGGCCAAATAAATTACTCGACTTGTGAAACAGAGACAATATTCCTTGCTGGTAAGGAATGTGGTGCAGTGTTTTTAAATATCTGCGACCAGCAGTGAAAACAGACTTCAATCTGTGCTGTTGTAATTATTAGGACTTAAAGATATATGAGAGGCATGACCCACCTTGCTGCCCCACAGGTTAATTATCCACTCGTAGAATATCACAATATATGTAGGCATTTCCATGTATGATTTAGGAATAGAAATACACACAGGGCAAGGCAGCAGCTGAACTTTCCCAAGGTGTCCCTGCCCATGGCTGGGGTGCTGGAACAAGACGATCTTTAAGGTCCCTTCCAACTCAAACCATTCTGTGATTCTATATCACAACAGCAGCTTTTGTCTACAACTGCACTTGCTTTATGCACATTTTGTTCTATGTGCATTTGGCCCTCGCCCTTCACAACTCCACTCATGTGCAATACTCGTGCTTACACAAAGCTCACTAACATGCTGTTTGCTCTGAGACAAATGCGAAAGACCGATCCATTAACAGCAGCCCCGGAGATTAATTTCTGTGCAGAGAAACAATTCTGTGCAGGGTGTTGTAATCGTAACTACAGCCCTGCAAGGGAAGGACATGAAAAAACCCTGATTGTAGGCTTGTGCATGCTCATGGGGCTTCCCAGCATGAACATCCTTCCTTCCTTCCTGGGTCCTGCTCTCGCACTGCCTACAAAAAATGCTCTTGACTAAGAATTTTACAAACATTGACAGTTGGACTGTGTATTAAAACTGTTTCAGTTTCTTTATTGGCACTTTGAATTCTGCTCCAGGATTTGAAACAGTAAGTTATATAAGAGATGAAGCTGACAGCCCTCCTTCTCTGAGAACATGCTCCCCCAAACCTGCTAAAAAGCAAGTTTGGGAGAAAAAAGCATTTCTGGAGCTGGCGGGTCCATTGCCAGTGGAGGAACATTAACTTGTCCCTCAGGTCACTGAGAAACACTTCCAAACGTGAAAAAACAGCTATGGTTGCCACCTGGAAAGGTTTACTCCTGATTAACCCTTGTTGGGGCAGACCAGGGCAACATTTAATGAGGCCTCCGTTGGCGACCTTCTTAAACACTGCTTTGTGTCTGGCAGTTTTATGGACAAATAAACGCAAAATAGCTTTGCCAGTGTTAACGTGGAATAAGTTTCGGTACATTTAAATGAGCTATTAATAGCAAGCTGTGGCTGCTTTGTATTTCCAAACTCAAGAGCACAATATACTGCCTGTTTTTATGACTGCGCTCTGTAACCTCTGACCACCCAGTGAGCTTGAAGGACCCAGTGCCACATCCCCTGAGGTGTGCAAAGAGCCTGGTGCTAAAGGTAGGACAGAGCTTTACTTAGATGTCAAAATTTTAGGTTCCTTAAAAATGTGTAAAGGAGGCAAACACACCCTTGGCTCCTCCAGAGCCCAGGCAGAGGCTGATGCAATCGGCTGCAACTTGCTCAGTTTTTTAAAACGGAGCCAGGAGGTAAATTCATCTCATTTGTGTTTATGAAGAGAGGCCAAACAGACTGAAAGCTCTGGGTGGGATCCTTGGCTTGTGAAAGGAGATTTGGCAAATCTTAATCGAATGTTAAATTCCAAGTTCTCTATTCAGCTTTTCTCTGCTCCGTTTCTGTGCCCTGCAGATCCCCCACAGCCCATTATCCTCTCCAGCCAGAGCACAGCAGGACATCTAAGGAAAACAAGCTGATGATCATAATCAAGATTTTCACTTGGCAGAGATTGGTGCAAGGTTACTAAAGTCAAGGGTGTGTCCTTACTGTACATGGAACAAGGACTCAGGAGGGACTGAAGATGACCCTGGAGTGGCTCTCTGTGCTGTGGCATTACAGGGCATCCCTGGGCCCACCTAGAGAACTTCTGGGATCCTGAGAAAAAGGCAAGAAGACAGGGGATGAGGTGAACTGGGAAAGTTGGAGAATGGTGCCATCCTGGAAATGTTTGTTCTCTAAGCCCCAGTGCTGAGGAAGCATAAAGACACAGAAGGCACGGAGAGCTCAGGACAGCCTTGCTGTGATGGACAGATTGGTGTTGGATGCCTCCTCCAGGGCTTGCTCCAGTGCCTGGGGTGGATGCTGGCCCCAGCTGGCTATGAAGTTGGTCTGGAGAGCAAGAGCAGGAAGGAAGAAGCAGCAACAGTGATCATCAGACCCTCCTAGTGTCATAAACTGAAGGTGTTGCAGCATGCATGACAAACTTGCACCCAAAGGAAAATAAAATCTGAAACTAAAGACCTTTTCTTCAAGCAACATTGATTAAAGTAGTGTCAGAGTGTATGTCCTCCTTCCCTGAGTGGCTTTAAAATCAAGCAGTAAAATCCTGGGAGAGTTCGTAAAAGAATCACTATCTCTGCCTGGAAGTATTTGCCATTTGTTAAAACCACTGATGAGCTTAACCCTCAAATTAGATCTGTTTTTCAATCTGAGAAGAGTGCCTGCTATATACGATTAGTGTTCTCAAATTTCCCAGCTGCTAAAAACATCAGTTTCTAAGATTAATGAGACCATGTCTAATATTTTATCCTAACATGTTAAGTCAGAAGCTGGCATCATGTAAATTAACAAACTCAATTACCAAGTCCTATGCAGATACCACCAGAGATGCCACGAGATCAGAGGGAAGAGGGAGAACAGCTGATAAACAGAAAATGACAAAATCACTAGGAGAAAAAAAGGCATTTGCAGGCTTCAAAATATTTCTCACACAAAAATGCAGAGCAAGGAGAGCAGAGAAAATGACAAGCTCAGAAGAAAAGTCCTTAATTCTGCCAATGTAATGGCCTTGCTTTGCAAGATGGGCTGACAGAGGCGCTGCCGAACTCAGTCTGCTAATAAATTATTACGTCATTTTTCTTTTCATCATTAGTCACTTCTGATATTTCCTCGTCTGTGTGGGCAAAGAGGTGGAGCATCTGGAAATGATGAACACATCTGAAGAAATGAAGACACATTAATCAGCTTACCACCAACACAAGGACATTCATGAGCCGATCGATGCTAGTTCGTTTAAAAGTTGTTTTTCCACTGTTCTGCATTAGTTTAGTGTCTGGCCCTGGAGATGAAACACACTTGTTAATTTTAGTAATAAAGCTTAGCTGTTCTAAAGCTGATTCCCTCTGAGGCCCCACTGTGCTTTCCAGCATAAATGACTATTGCAGTTTTCTTGAAGGCAGGTATGTACAGTTCACAGTGCTGGTGGAAAACTTGGGCAGAAACAGGTTAAGTCATTTGCCTGAGATTATATGGGGATAGTCACATTAAACCATTAATTCTGGACTTTGACTCTGCTCTCGTCTTTCAACATTCAATCCTCCCTTTCAGGTTTAATTACTTTTCACAGAATACCTGATACTGCTATGTTATTGGTGATATATTATACATTATCTCACATGTCTGGAGAAGTATAGAAACAACAGAAGGACTATCCTCATAAAAAGCATAGATCTAATCAATAATAATATTGATGACCCTGATATTCCAATATGGATTAAAGTCACATAGAAATTATAAGGAATTTAATTGAATACACTTGACAGAATTCTTAGCCAGATTTACTCCTTACATTCTTACTGATCGATCAAGAGTCCCCTCCTGTACTTTGCTACATGCATTTCTGAAATAAAAAACTGTGTTGTTCTTGTACTTCGTAGATACACATTTTCCAAAGAGGAAAATACTTGATTCCTCTGTGCCTGCTGGGTGTGATGTACTTCCATGCTAGTGCTGCTCTGCAATTCACATATTAGTCTTTTTACCTACCAGCATAAATAACAAGTCCAAAGCACCACTCTGTGTTCCTGATAGTACAGCCCCTCAGCAACATCTTCTCATTGTCCAGGGCATACTTTTCTCCTCGAAGAGTAAGAGTGCCTGTGAATTTATCCAGTTTGTTATTCGGTGCCTCACATCTGACTTCACCTATAAAAAAGAAGGTAAAAGCAAAAATGGAAATCTTGTCCCAGAAAGATGTCATCAATACCTCATTCCCAGCTGTTCCCCAGAGACAGTATTTGACATTTAGCTGCAGTCAACTCCAGACCCTGTCATTCCTATTCTGCATCTTACATTTACTTACTCATCATTTGGGATGTTGCTCCTTCCCCATCTTCCTGTCATAATCCAATGGACCACAATGAATTTAAATTTATCCCATTCTTTGAACATGCCAATGTTTTATTGGTAGAGTACAAAACAAAGTTTCCACAGCTTTTATGTTGATGAGAAGAAATGTTGAACCAGCAACATAGTTTTAATCCACTCACAGCGAGTTCATAGTGTAGGATGTCACTGGATAACTTTAGCTAAAAGTGCTGACATCACCTTTTTTCTTATTTCATTTTCTCTCAAACTGCAGGAGCCCAAGCGAGAAAAATCATAGCCTAAAGGCTGCAAAAGAGTAATTAACTGAGGTGTCTTTGTTCACTGTTTTTTAATTTCATCTGTTTTATAACTCAAGTCCCAATGGCACATAAAAAGATACTGCTACTTTCTTTGGCCAAGCACCTGACGCTGTAAGTGATTGGAGTGTCTTTTTCCATGCTTTATATTTATTTCTTGCAATAAAATGTGTTTGGATACCTTGACATAAAAATTACTATTTAAATTACTATTTAAATCAACAGTTGCACCTGACATTTAAAGAGTCAAAGCAGAGCCCTGTGGATGTATGGAAAAGAACTGGAAAATACAAATATGCCTTACTGAAAGGGAATCCAAGAGTTCAGTCTGTTCACTTAATCAGCAGGAGCATTAAAGTCATTTTGATCACAGCCTGAAAATACCTACATAAAGACTAGCATTTGCAGAGAGTACAGCTCTTCCAGCTATTCTCAGACAAAACACACCAGGCTTAAGAGACTGGAAACAAAATTCAGAGAAGTCCAGAAGAAAAGTGCAGCTTTAAGTATCATGATAGTCTTCACCACTATATATTCTAAAATCAAAAATGAATGTTATTTTCATAGAAAAGTAGCTCTACTCTAGGGCAGACAAATTGTCCAACTGGAAAGATGAAATGATTAGGAAATTTAGTGACACGTGACATCAGAGCTCATACTAACAGCTGTGCTGATCTTCTATTTTATCATCTGGTTAGTCCAACAACCACCAGACCTGTACCCTATCATTACTGAAAGCCTGCAATAGCCAGACCCATCTCACTGCCTCCCTTGCAGCCCTTGAAAAGCACAAAGGAAACAGAGGCTTTACACTGCAACCTGAAACAGCACAATGAGACTGGCAAACCAAACCCAGGGCATGATCTCCCAGCAGGAACAGTGTCTCTGTGGTGGGACAGTGCTCATGTGAGCACCTTGAGTCTGCTCTCCTGTAAGCAAGTGGGTCTGGGTTACTGAAGTGCTGTTTTTGAGATCTGAAGAGATTCGTCCAGATGAGACAGATCACAAAAGAGTGAGAAGCTCTACAGATTCACCCAATCGACCCAGCAACTGCAGCTGAAGATACCACAGCAAGACACCATGCCTCCTGTCTCCCTCTCCCACTAACAGCAATAGGATACCTGGAGTGCATTTCAATTGAAAGGTTAAAAACTGCCAAATCAACATGTGATAAGTAGTAGATAACTGAAAAGTATTGTTTCTTTTCTCATTGTCCAGTTCCCTAAATCAAATAAAGAAATTCAGTGTTTTGCAAGCATCCTCCTTATCTGAACCATCACTATGTCAAACAAACATCATAACTCACATTAAGCATTCCACTGAGTGCCTGTATTAGCTGCTCGACCCTTTCCTCTCTTCCTGTCTTAAAAAGTAATTAGATAAAGAGTTACATAAATATTTAAATATTCTGCAGAGGTTTGCTAAGGGAAATGCAAGGTTGGGTCTGATTCCAGGCACTCTTCCCAGTACACTGTCAAATATAAATCATCCTGGGAAACATTTTATTCATTTTAAGTATTGCAAGGAGGCCACTTTTATTTACAACATAACTAAAATAGAGATTTACAGAATAAATAAATATCTGATAAGAAAATTTGCAATTTTCCAAAATATTTTTAAACATTTTTTAATTAAGCACTTCCAAGAATGCAGTGCTCTCAGATAAGCACCACACTGAAAATGCTTGAAAAATTATTTTAGATTAAGATTTTGCTTACAAATTCATAGACACTGCAGCCTGTTCAGAAAAATAATTAAGGCATGCCACTCCTATTACTAACATAAAGCATCTAACTGCATCTGCAAAAACACATTTCTCAAGACCTAAAACACTCAGAACCTCAGCCATCACTTCAGAGAAATCCTGATGTACTGAGCTGATATTCAGCAAAGACCACACAAGTTATTGCCTAAAACCTCAACACAGAAGGCAAAAGAAACTGTACCAGAGACAGTCCCAGCTTTATAGTCTTTGCCACATCCCCACCACCTGTCCTGGAATCATCAAAAAGATTTTTTAAAAATTATTTTCCTCCTTTATCGAAAATATTTCCTGAGAGCCTGCAATCCTTGAGACGTTCCAAGGACAGCAGCACTCACTCCAACCCTTTCCATACCGACTATCCCTGTAATCCTGTCCTCGTATCTAAGCCAGCAGGGCACTGCAGAACGTGACTAACATCACTAGGTCTGTTCCCTCGTCCTCTCTCCACAGGCAGATGATGTCTGAGCATGGAGTATTCTGGTTTTGACAGATCTGGCTCCTTTCTGTGTATGTGCTGTTATGTACTCCCAGGTATTCAGTGACAGGACACATGGCAATGGTTCAAGTTGCACCAGGAGATGTTCAGAGTGGATGGTAGGAAACATTCCTTTGCTGAGAGGGTGATCACACACTGGAACAGGCTTCCTAGAAGGGAGATCGATGCCCCCAAGCCTGTCAAGTTTAAGAGGCTTCTGGACAATTCCCTTAAAAACATACCTTAGCTTTTGGTCAGCCCTGAAGAGGTCAGGCAGTTGGACTACATGATTGTTGTAGGTCCCTTCCAACTTTCATTCTATTCTGTTCTCCTATCCTATCCTATCCTATCCTATCCTATCCTATCCTATCCTATCCTATCCTATCCTATCCTATCATATCCTATATTTGATATACAAAACAGTGCAAAAAAGGACACGTTTCCAGTTAACCACATCTGCATTGCCTGCCTTTAAATATTTTAAAATGCAGTCTTTACTGCGGCATTGAGAGAGGAGAGGAATGCTTTAGGCTGGGAAGTAGTCACCTGTCCTGTGTGCACAGAGTTAGTCCTCGGGTCTGTGTGGTGAGTGGAAAGTGCTGCTGCTCAGAAGATAAATGTAATGGGTGCATCAGCATTGCTGCATCAATGTAAAAGTGCAGTGTGAGAATGTTTTGAGATCAGAACTAAGCATAAGGTTTTGGGAAAACAGTTTCCATTATGCAGTTACATGAAGTCTTTTACTGGGGTTCAAGGTGGGTAGTATCAACATGTACAGACAGATACTAAAGCAAAGTGTGTGTCCAGAAGTAGAATTGCCACCAATGCAGTTTCAGGTTACAGCCATGCATGGCACTGAGACCTACAAGCAAAGAGGGACCTCTTCCTCTACATATGCTGTTTTGCTGGCACTGTTTCCAGAGAAGTCCTAGCAGGAGGCAGTGGACAGCTCGGAAGGAAGAGTCCCAACCACCCTCTGGACTCTGGAGTTTAGGCAAATCCTCTGAAAAGTGAATTTTACTCACCATTAAACTCTGTCAGCTTCTGAAGATCTTCTCCAAGCTCTGCAGTGACTGTCAGTGCCTGCTTCACCTTCAGGTTTGTTTCACTGTGACAAACAACATGAGACAAAAACATGAACTGAAAGTCATATGTGAACTGAAAGCTCTCCCTGAAAGTCACTTCTGCTCTTGGGGACAGTCTTCTTCCTTGGATATCTGATGGACTGTGTTACCATATGCCTTTTTCACCTGGCCAGTGTGTGTAGATTGTCTCTCTCAGTTCCAAAGACAGAGGAATTCTCGGCATGGTATCATGGTATCAGAGGAGGTGAGGTGAGAGGTGAGGTGTGTATCCTGTCACTCATGACACATTTGACCCCAAGGTATCTGAGCATACAGGAGAGCTCTGGATCTCTCCCATGGTATTCTGATCCTGAAGAGTACTCCAGTCTCGGGACTAGCTAGCTGGGGAGTTTGAAATGCAATGTCAAAAGAATACTGCATTTGTTCAGGGCCTCTTAAAAGTGGTACTTGTGTGTGCAAAAGCTGCAAGCTCATTTTCAGCAGAAATCAAACGGGGAAAGTCTAGAGGGCTGTCTGTAGGGTCTTGGGAGAGACACAATTTCTTGAACTCTCTGGTCTTGCTTATATACAGGCAGTGCAGAAACAGTAATGCAAATTGGGTCATAAAGATGAGGTCAGATCCAGTTTATTCCAATTAATACAAGTTGCAACCCTCTGCCTTGTGGCCAGTTGTGTCCTGGAGTGAGCAGCATTTGGAAGCCTTAGCAGTGTGCATGCATTGATATTATGGTATAGCAGTCCAAAGGAGATTACTGGATCTATTCATTATCATTATCTCACCCAGATAATCTGTCTAAAAGAAAAGACTAAAGGAGATAAAAGAAACAGAAAGCTTCTGCCAGTGACCTGTGATATTGCACAAACATATGTCTAACTCTCAGTGTTATAACTGTAACTGAAAAATTCCCCTCTAATGTGACTGAAGGAGGCAAAAGTATCCATCAGAAGATGTTATTTTCAAGGTACCTATCCAAAGTTTACTCTACATATTATGAAACCCTGGCTAGAAAAGTTATTGCAGGTACACCTGTTGCACCCAGGGTCACCAGGCTTTGCAGTGGTGGCCGTGACTGCACCCAAGGGTCAGGTTCACTTACCCATCCAGCTCAGCTGTCTCGATGTACGTCAGGCTGTGCGGTTCACTGCTTGAGAGTAACAGTAGATCAGCCTGAACACAGACAGACAAGACTTGGCATGAGTTCACAGAGTCAGTGGGCACTGCACCACAGTGCTGCTTGTGGTTACTGCCACACTAAGACTGATCTTCTTGTGAATGATAGGAGTGACAGAGATTAACTGTGATCAGGATAGAGAGAAATGGCACTCACCGTCACAAAGTTGTTGTTTTCTAGTTTTATTATATCCCCCACTTGGACATTCATCCATTTTTGTTCCTTTAACCTGCAAGAAAACTTCTGGTAAGGAAGCACATAAAGTGAACACCACTTGGGAGAGCAGTATACTTGTCTCTGCTCCTGGAGCCAGACTTGGGCTGTTGATAAGACGGAACAGGGTCTGCCATGGTGTGTCCTGATCCATACTAAGCTAGCGGACCACTACAGTGCAAAAAACAGCAGTAAAAAGCAGTAAGAAGCAGTAAAAAGCAGTGGTTGGGGTAACCTGTGCCAGGTTGAGACCAAGTCCCACAATGGCAGCACAGTTCATGTGAACTGTCCTTGTCTCTGGATCGACTACTCCCTTCATTTTCTTAAAGGGCCACATTGTCTCAGAAAATAAACGTCTCTATTTTGTGTAAGAGACTTCCCAAGCACCTGTGAAAATTGCTGATTGTGTTAGGTTTTCGAAGTGGTATTATGGGCCACAGTAACTGGCTGTCAGGAAGGTCAATGCAGGTGCTTTGGCTGTGCATGTGCCTATCTAAGCCAAGTCTGCAGTGGTCTTCACAGCACTAAGCCAGATGTGCACAAAGGCAGCCAGCTAGACTGCAAGCACAAATGTAACTAAGTCATGATAACTGTATATGCAAAATCTAGAGGTGAGAAATATCAGGAACTATCTCAAAACAGGACTGGTACTTAAGCTTGAACTCAGCTCAGCCTTGCTTTTTTAACGTTGGTCAGAATTGGGCAGGACCTGTGGTTTCCAGTTTTTGAAAAAGGCAGAATGTTATAAAACTTCTGTTTCAATGTGTGTTTCCTAGACACAGTAACTAATACGTAGTAGGCTAAGAAACTGGTTTACTTAGCAGAAAGCACAAAAAGTGTGTTCCTGTTCTTCAGTTTCCACTGCATATATTTTTAACTGTTTGATCATCTGTTGAAGCTTACATAACATACTGTTTGCTATCTATAGTATGGAAGTCACCAGAGACTTCACAACTGTCTACAGCCATGTCCTACACAGAGTTGGACTCCATGGTGCTGCAAGTAAACAGCACATCTGTCTGCCATGAAAGCCAAGGCCTCTTCTTTTATTTTTTTCTGCAGGAAAGAACAGTGCTAACAGTCCAATGTCCAAAGCACACAGCTGAAATATTTTTGAGTACATTTAAGCCAGAAGTTCTACACACACTCAAAGTATTATGACATGTACGAGGGAGTAATTCCAGCTTCTTAATTTCAAATAACTTGTTGATAATGCCTAGTATTGCTTAATGCAAAATAAATGCTATGAGCATAAATGGACACAGAAGATCACTTTGCTCGTCACTTCTGGGGCAAGGAGTAAAATAACACAAAGTACTGCTTACTTAAACATATATATCCAGGAACAGAAGGAGTTTACTTTTTGTCAGCACAAGGTCACAGTGGTACTATGTCTTGGGTTCATTAACTGAACATATAGTCTAAAACTGCACGATGAACGAGTGGTGTGAAACACAATTCGATTTTAAAATGTTTAGGGATTCCTGGGAAACATACACACATCCCCCCCAAAAAATTAAAAATATTACTAATAGAATGCTCTTGCCAGTCAGAATTACAGCAAAAATCAAAAAGACTTACATGCCATTGATCAGGACCTGGACTGGGCGGTTGTTGACGTGTTTGTCACTTTTGTGCCGATTCTGAAAATTGGATCAGTAAGTTAAAAGGCATTTCCAGGAAACTAAGCACACTAGAGCCGTAGGCAGTTCATTAACATTTTAGGTTTCCACCCAGCTGGCTGAATGGGTCAGGCAGATTAGGGTCACAGCTGAGTCAGAGTCTAGTGCATGTTTACACTTGTAACACAGGGCATAACTAGTCTGCAAAGAGCAACAGGCAACATGGGGCTTATTCTTGGAGGCAGGAAGGAGGGTAGAGCCTTATATGTCACTTAACACACTTAACACCAGAGAAATTCATTCTTCTGCTTTGATATGGAAAGTGGCCACAGATGTTTTGGCATTGCTCCATAGAGCATCAAAATTATTTTAATAATGAGAGAAAATCAGATTATAAAATTAGCTCTAATATCACCTCGCGAAGTCATTGGGACTTTGACTATTAGCCCTGTTGGGAGAAAACTTCGCCAAAGCTGGGCAAGTTTGAAAAATCACAGGTGGGCTGAGCTGTTGCTTCCTACCAAATGTTTTTTGCCACATACATTGAGCTAGATGACAGAGGATGAGTTCTCCAAAGCGGAAGCCTAACAACAGACTTCTGTGCCAGCATCCAGACATATCTATCGGTGACCACATTTTCAAACATGCTGAGCAGTTTCAGAGAAAGTCAATGGGGCTGCTGGGCTGCTCAGCAATATGGAAATTCTAGCTCCTTTTTAGGTAACATTTGGGGCCTTGGGCACATTAGGTAAGATTTGGGGATCTAATCTCAGACCCCATCTCGACCACAGACTAGTTCTCCAACTGCCTGCCTCCGGCTGTGTTTAAGTGGTTTGTTTTAGTCACTTCTGAAGAATCACAGGCAAACTCCAAAGTACAGGTCAGAAATACAGATCTTACAAAATCATCGATGGCATCTTTTACGCCTGACACAGCCAGCACCAGCACCAGGGGCACCACTGTTGTAAACCAGGCCAGTGAGGAAATCTGGGGAATCAACTGTGGGAAGAAAAGATCTGAGTTAAGAAATTTCCTGCCAGTTCATAAAACCATTGTTTCCTAATCAAGCTGCAGACAACATTTTTCTGTGGTATCTGAATATAGAATAAAGATAGAAATGCAGCTCTATCCTTGATACGTGATCCCACAAAGGTGGGAGAGCTAGGGAACCCAAGCTTTGCTTACAAACAAGCTGTAATTTAAGTTATAAACTTGAAGCTGTCAAAAACTGTAGTGGGTTGCTATTTCTTCTTGTTTGTAAAATAAGGATTGCAAAGTCCCCAGTGGATTTCCTTGGAAATACTGACATGGGCAAGCAAAGCCTGCTGTGAGGAACTCAGAGCTATCTGAGCAAAGCCAGCTGTGCAGAGCCTTCAAAAGCTTCTGTTCTTTGTTTCAGTAACTCTTAACATTTTGCTGAAGTAAACTTCACATCACTAAACAACACACAGCTGTTGCCAGGGCTGACCTTGCTCCTCCATGACCAACAAAGCCATTTTTGTTTCCTACATCTTTAATAGTGAGAGGACCCAAGAGTTCAAGGTGATTCTGTCATGCCTTCAGTGATGCAGAGGAAGATGTCTTACCCCCACACAGTTCTCCCCTTCCTCTAAAAGCACAGCACTAGGGATGGAAGCAATGTAAAACCAGCATTAGTGTGTCCATCAGTTTGGATTTTGGCAGTGTCAACTCCGTGAGCATTGTGAAGTTGACTTTTCTGCACTGTCACAGCCCAGATTGTACAGGCACCACGAGATCTATCCAGGAGGAATGATGTTTAGAGGCAAGCACAGATCTGCTCAGCTGTAGAGGCTGCAACTGCTACCTTCTCACCTAACTGGCAATATGCATGTCCCGCTGGTCTGTGACAAAGAAGTAGGCAGGCAAGAGTCCCCACAGCCTACACATCAGATCCACTCCAAGTGAAGGAATTGATACAGCCAGTGCCACAGGGATAGAGTGAAGGGAAAAAATTAAATGGAGCAATATGTACATATAACAGACTAATGTCTGCCCTCTTTAGACTACCCTGATGTCAAGAGAAAGCTGTGTGCTTTTATATACAGTCTCTCCTAGATGGCTCAGCAAAACACACAGTGAAATAATTTAAGGCAAATAGTGTGAAACAGTATGAATTTGACAGACAAACAGCTAGAGTGCAGTACAACAACACAGGAACAGTGCTGTCAGCTTGGCTGAAAAGGCATCTTCACTAGTTTGTTGAAAAATATACAATCACTGAAATTTCAAAAATTCATTCCCTGTAAATAAGCAAAGAAGATCATATGTGGTTTGCTGCAGGCTTGACCACATTTTACCTATGCTTTTTTTGAGCTGAAATTGTAAAAAAAGCATTTGAAATGAGTTATTTTGCAAATTTGTGTGCACTGGAATGATCAAATTTAAAATATCATACTTGAAACACAATCAAAATTATACCCTTTTTCTTGATAATGTGTGCTCTGATATGACTCAACAATACAGAGTGCACTGCTGTATTTTAGCAAAGTGCAAAGGGTCAGAAATCCTGGTATCAATTTCTCCAGTACGTTCAGCTTTCAGACAGAGTATTATTACCAGCAGCAATGAGCAAGGTGCAATTTAACGCCACTATGATCCACAGGGTTCAATAGTGTCACCAGTGTCTGACACGCTCCATATTGGACACCTTCCTCACCCTGGAGCAGGGAGCAGCAATATCCCCCTTTATTCGAACTACCCACAACCTTGAGCCTTCCTGATGTTAACTCCTTCCGCCCAGGGAAACAGCATAGGTTATACATTTATTCTTCTTGCTGTTGCCTTTGAGACTGCCAATGGAATCTGCCTTAAAATCTATCGGGAAGAGACAACTTGACTTTATATTACAGAGGAAATAAGTAATGCAAATCTGAGGACAGCCAGGAGCAGTCAGATGTAGACACAAAGGGGCAGTAGGACACGGCATGAAAAAGTTGCACAATTTGTTGAAAACTTTAATTAAATTTTTTCTTCATTTAGTTCAAATCCTCATATGCAAAGCTAAGAGAGAAAATTGCTTTTTCTCTGCCCTACTTTCTATCTACTATAAGGTTTTACAAAGACACTAATTCACAACAGGGATATAACTTGCTCTTCATTACATCTGTCAAACATAGACTGGCTTTGATAACAAAGAACACAAGCTGCTGGAAACAGCACAGTGAAGTCATACCTGCAAAATCAGCAAGAAAAGAAAGTAGGCATTGGCTATTCGCTGAAACTGTTCAAACAGGTTGAGAGGCAGGAAAGTGAAGAAATTGTATTTCGATGTTTTAATTGAATTGTTCTGTAAGGAAAAAAATATAAGGAAAATAAGTAGGATTGGTAAAACAGGAAACAAAATTGCAGCACAACACATTTCAACTGTGTTTTACTTGCTTATATTTAGCAATAGCATTGTTTCCAAAAGCAGCTCAAAAAACGTTTCCTTTTCCCCCACACAATCATGCCAAGCCTGGATAAACAGAGAATTCCTCTTGGAACTGGTGAAAACATGATGCTCAGTTTATGCCAGTGCTGATACAGGTACATATAGTTGCTCACAAAGAGACACATCTTCACCTTATTAATAGTCTTCTTACACATGCACAAATAAAATTAAGAACTGTAACCAGAACACAACAATTTTGTTGTCAGAATCTACAAAGCAGCGTTAGAAAACACATGCCAGGTCAACCATCTGCAGCTTGCCTGAGACTCTGAAGCACACATCAACTGGACAACTCCACAGGAGCTAAAGGTCCTCTCATGAGCAGAATACGACATTATTATTATTTTCGGCTGATTTAGCAACCTTTCAGCTCAGCAACTTCAAGGGGTGGCTTGTTTCTATTCCACAAAGATCATTTGAATGTGGTGTTTTGCAAACAGCCACAAACACAAGAACTCACTATTTCAGCAAGTGAGTTGCAGCTCTGTTCCCTATTTCCAGTTTCCTTTTCTAATTGCAGATGGCCCCTCTAGCCACAAGAAGCAGCTGCTCCCCTGCCTGTCTTCTGCAAACCAAAGACCCAAGCTCTGGACTAATGAACTGGGCATTTTCTCCTGCAAAGCTCAGAGAAGTCTGGTCCAATACTTGATACCAGCCAGTCAGGCTCAATCCATCATACTGAGCCCATCAGTTTGGGCTGTCCCTTCAGTTTTCCATGCTAGACTTTCTTTTCATACGAAGTTTGACAGGCACTCATTCAGGTTTAGTCCTGGAAGGATTTATGTCATCTGTTCCCAGCACATCTAAAATTTCCCCCCCCGCCCCCCAGAAGCTCTCCAGATGATCCCTATTAACCCCCTCCCAGGTAACATAAGGTATGACAGCACAAGGAGGCAGATATGAAGTGCACTGTCATTCCGTAGTAGGTTTGCCGGTTCAACAGAAGTGAAAATGGTGATTGCAATATTGTAACAGCCTTTAGATATTGCTAAACTGGTGGGAGGACAGAAGTTACTAAGTATGAATCACAGCCCACTTCTAATCCATGCATTAATCCATGATCTCAACATCTACACTGGCACACATCAGCATTTTTCCACCACTAAATCAATTACTTCAGATTACCAGTGTAAGGTGTGTGGGGGGAAGCTACTCCATTTTAGGCAGTTACCAGATTTCTTTATGTTCAGACACAAAGTACAGCAATGTTATTCAGCATTAACTTCATGTTTTATCCCTAGGACAAGCCGAATGAATAAGTCTCTAAAAGGGCAGAAATGGAAACACCCTTCACGGAAGAGCTAGAGAAATCCTCCCATTGATTGCACTCCAGCAAGAAAGGATATTTATCAGCAATCATCATATAAAAAATATTGCCTCTCTTCTGGCATTGTATAGCCACCTTCAAGTGCCATTAACTCTGTCTATATCATGACACACAGTTAAATTTGGTTTATTTCAAAATTCTTTACCATGGGATAAGTATTGCAGACAGCCTCCATGGACACTGCTGAAACAGAAGCAAGGAATAGCTGCATCCTCTTCAAACCCAGCATAATGAGAACTAAACTGCTTGACAAGACTGTGTCCACCAGACACAGAGTCTAGCAGATTTTTTAATAAAAACTGGATCTAAATATCCTCCCTGCCCACTATTCTGAAGAAAAGTATCACGGTCACTTACTTTAAAAATAAAAAAAATTAAAGAGAAGACAGTAGCTGCAGGAAAAAGTAAGTGCAGAGGACTTGACCTTTGTGCATCAACAGATTTCAGAGGGTCACATACAACATGGGAAAAACTACTCAGTAAACACTCAGATAAAGTTCATAGATCTTTGCCTGCAAAAATCTCAGAGGGGAATAAGAAAAGAATGGGAGTGGTTTATTTCAAATCCTGTCTTCTATTTCTGTCCATTAATTACGTCAGGAAAACCACCGAATGAACCACAGCCATTCACTTTGTTTCCTATTGCCATTAGGCATGGTAAAAACCCCAGACATAACAGCTTCCAAATGCTTAACTACAGGAATCTGGACATCCAATGTATTCTCCGTAGCTGTTCAGGATCATGATACTGTTGGGCACACACTGTCTTTTGGGACACTTGAACACTTCAGACCTCAGAATAAGGACAGGGAGTATTATTATGGATTTTCTCGTTGTTCTGGAATCTATAATTAAAACTAATCACCTGAAAAAAAACCTTCATAACTACTATGAACCTTTCTAATTCAACACATAACTTATTTGTGGACCTCAAGGGCTAAAAGAATATCACTAGTAAATTATAATGACAAACTAGGGAAACCTTCAGCCTTTCCAGTTCAAAGCTCTGCATTCCCACATTATGGATACAGTTGAACTCTGTGCAAGGTATCACAGAATGATTTGGCTTGGAAGTGACCTTAAAGATTTTGTTGTTCCAACCCCCATGCCATGGGCAGAAACACCTTCCACTAAACCAGGTTGCTCAGAGCCCCATCCAGCCTGGCTTTGAACACTTCCAGCCATGGGGCATCCACAGCTTCTCTGGGCAACCTGTGCCAGTGCCTCACCACCCTCGCAATAAAGAATTTCTTCCTAATATCTAATCTAACTGTACTCTCTTTCAGTTTGAAGCCATTCTCCCTTGCCCTGGCACTACATGCTCTTATAAGAAGTCCTTCTCCATCATTTTTGTGGGGTCCCTTCAGTTACCGGCCAAAATCATGTCAACCTGAAGCCTTCTCTTTTCCAGGAACAAGTCCAGTTCTCTCAGGTATCATTTATGTTTTCATGGAACACTACAGGGCTGTGTGCTTTGACAGCTCAGGCTCTTGGTTGACTACAGGGAAATCTCAGTTCACCTTTGCTCTTGATCTTACCTTTCTATGTCATGCTGAACACCATCACCCCCTGTAACTCTTTAGAGCTGTACCAGAACGTGACTCTGGGGTGGGAGGGGTGCTTTGGGAATGTACAGCACCGCAGTGTGTTAAATAGTCCATATGCAGCCATCATTTTATAAGCAACGCCTCTAACACATCATCTGCCTCACATTCCCCATGCTCTGCCTTCAGCGAGGGAGACTCCCATAGAGAAAAAGTCATGGAGAGGAAAAATCTTTTAAACAGCAACTAGGTGTTGAGAGGCCTTACCGGAACTTCTGGTTTTCCTATTGATTTATAAAAATCAACAGCTAAGCAATGCAGCTCTATGGGCTAAGCACAAAGATGGGAATGGGGAGCTTTACTCTTACTCCCAGATTTGCCCTAGACTTCTGCTTTTCTGAGGGCAGTCCCTGCATGCACCTGTGTCCTAAACAGACAGGTCTGAGCGTGGTTACCCACCGTCAGCCTCAAGCTCTCCAGATGCGAAGCTTGACACCAGAGCAACGTCGTCTGTGGGTGAGGGATTATTCTCATCTGCTCTTTTCAGGGGCTAGATTCACACCTCCCGGAGGTGTGACTCCACCAAAATGCTGTCCCTAAGAATAGTGCTCATCGCGCCACAGTTACACAAGTCCAGATCTGGAGGATGAGCTGTTACTTTGGGGGTGTTTTCAGAAGCCCGCCTGTGACGTCCGACTGCTGGCAAAACTCAGCAGATGGTTCCTACCTTTGTTCGCTGAGCAAACAAATCATCTCCTTGCCATAAAAGTCACTGGAAATAAGAGACACTGCTGTTTTTGTGGCTAGATTATGGGAGACTAAAGGGTATGGCAGGGTACTGACCCTCTGAATTTATACCCTGGCTCAGTGAAATAATAGTTCCTAGTAGCTGGACAAACTAGCCCAAAGCAAATTTTAGCAAAACTCCGGCAATCCCACAGGGAGGTGTTATGCCACAGCACGTGGCAATTTCCCTGGTACCCGTGTAGCACTAGTGTTTTGATAAAGCCTTGCAAGGAGGCAGCGGGAGCACAATTCCATGGCATTTTGTTTGACCACAGCAGCACTACTGGAAAGCATGCAGATGCTTTAAAGTGAAAATGTGACCGTAGGGCTGTGAATGTGCTCAGGAAAATATTTAACAAACTCATGTAAAAGTGCACATGGTGCCACAGAGGCTTTGTTTCCACAGGGAGTACAGAACAGTCAGATCAGATCAGTTTTAAGCCTTCAAAGTTCACTGCCTTATTCCTGATGGTGGGCAGCAGCCCCAACTCAACAGAAGACTGAGAAAGGCCAACAGGATGTAATGGTATTAATCTGGTCCCTGTAAAGGTCCCTGTAAAAAAATAAACTCCCAGGAGTAAAAGACTGGCCAAACACCAGAAATAAAAATATCTAAAACCAAACCACAATTCTCTTTTTTTCCCTTTTTTCTTTTTTTTTCTTTTTTCTTTTAACACAAAAACAATGGGAGTGTCTTACACATCTAACCCCTCGGCCCCCTCTTGGCAGTACCAATGAAATGAGTTCCGGGATCTCATCACATATTGGGTATTCCAGGAAAGTCTCTAGGAAAATGTGGTCACTGGTTGTGTTTTCCTGTGTTGTTCCTTCTGCCTGCTGTTATCCCATTTACTGACCAGTTAATCATCCCTGTGGCGAGTGTCCTCATCATGGTGGTGCAAAGGAGGACACAGAGGTGGCAAGGCTTGACAACCTCATGTCATTACTCACAGGTGGGCCAAGCACAGGACCTAAAGGTCTTGTCTCAGTCATCCTCTTTGACTACATTGTGTTCTCCTCTGGCTCAGCTCAGTACCTGGAGCTGCTGCCTGGAAGGAAGGAGTAGAGAAGAGAAGGGCAGAGCACTGCTGAGTGGTGCAAAGGAGGCAAACTCCCTACCACGGTACTCTGTTCATTAGGGTCTCATACAACAAAATTCCCAGCTAGTATGGTCAGTGTTTTGTCTCCATGAGGTCTAGTCTGATGAATAGTGAAGGACTTGGTCCAAAGGGGAATATACAAACTTCAGTGAAGCTCACATCTGGCACAGCTCAACCTTAACGTGCTTATCAGGGCCCTAATACGCCTTAAGGGCCTTGACCTCACCTGGTGTCTCCATCCACAACCACCGCAGGAGCTCATTTTAGCCCAGCCCTGAGCGTTCTATCCTCACCTAAGCTACACTGTAGGAGTCCCTCTCTCCAGACTGACATATGTCCTGGTTTTCCAGAGAGACCTATCCAGCTCTACCTCCTGAATGGACCTTGGACTTGTCACATAGACTACTGCTCCTTCCTGGCTCCTCAGGTGGGCCCTGGACCTGGTTCATCAGCTCACCTTGTCTGGGATGGTCAGGATGGGCCCCATTACCAGCATCCTGCCTTGTCTCCCTCAGCCAGATGCTGCAGGACTGCACCCTCGTCAGTGAGGGCTCTGCCTGAGCTGGGATCACCTCCACACGCACTCCCAGCTTGGCCCTCTTGTAGGGCAGCCCTGCTCTGGCTGCTCCCTGGCAGTGCCTCAGCTGGTCTTTATATGAATCCAGCTAACACCTTTCTAAATGCAGGAGTACTGCAGGTTGCTGCTGCATCTATTCCTTCAGGGGCTGCTCAGACCACTTTTCACTTGATCAGACGATACTCCCTTTGGTCTTGAGCATGAAGGACACTGGGAAGCATTTGAAGCTTGAGATGGGAAGACAGGGCAGCTGGTGCCACTACCCTGACCACATTGATAAGGTTCTTGGGGATAACCTACAAGGCAACCTTCTGAGATCAAAGCATGCAAGCAGAGAAGGTGCTTCAGAAGCAGAGTCTGAATCCACTACTGGAGCTCCCTGCTCTCCGATTAAATTTCAAAGAGATAAGAACCCAGCTGCTGATCCAGCCAAGGGCAATGTGTATTGGCCATAGGAAATTATATACATCCCTCCTATTTCACTAAAGACTTTATCAGGTGACCCGAGAGAACAAAAGCAGAGTCCAAGTGGCCCCCTTGCTGCTGGTTCTGACAAAAGAATGTTTGACCCTGGATCCTGATCCAAGATGAAATTTGTCATTGACTCATAGGCCCTGAATTTCCTCTCCTATTGTCTGAAAGCCAATTTCAAAGTTGTTTTCACACCCCTTCATGACGTCCCAGTGCAGCTGTGCTAAATTCCAATGTGAAAGCGAAGAAATAAAAGGGAACTGGGATCAGAGCAAACATTAAAAGCCTTCAGAAGAGATTTCCTTCTCGAGAATGTTGATGTAGAGCCCATCGTGGTGGACCCACATGGGCAGTCCCCTCTGTAGCTGTGCTGGGGACAGTGCGGACAGACTGGGGACAGTGCAGACAGATTAAATGGACTCAGATAAGAACCTTGATTAAAGTCCTTAAATCTTTCTGTACCACATCTGCCACCCTGCTTTTCACTTTATTTACACAGACAAACCTCTTACTGAATTCAAGAAGGATCTTTCCATTGGCAGTGTGAATAAAGATGGGATTAGGACTTGACTTTTCATTTTTACTGACCTATATTGAGTCCTTTTTTGTGCTGTTCCAAGTGCCTTTGCGTGCCACTCATTCACACTTGGTTTCTGAGTCATTCCTAACTAATTTTGTCAGCTGGTGGGTAGTACCTACCTTCACACTCAGCCCTTCCAGTTAACTGCACAGCACTTTGTTTTGAATTTAGTTTTATTTTCTAACCCTCCTGCTCAGCTAGAGAGGCTCTGTGGCTGGAGCAGCGTGGCAGGGACACTGCAGTTTAGCAACTTGTGTATTTTCTGATGAGCTCTGGAAGGGAATTTGCCCTCTGAAGTTTTCTGCAAGTTCTAGTGTGATGGATCTGGACATGCCCTTGCACGCATTGGCTGACATGGCTTTCCACAGTGCAGCATCAGGTTCCTGCAAAGCTGGTTTCAGTGTATTCAGGAGTCTCGCTTCATACCAGGAGGGCCAGCTTTCAGCAGCTGCCAGAGCTGATGTCACACACAATAGAGTTTTCAAGTCTTTATCAGCTCCTCTCTTCTCCCTTCACAGATATCCTGTAAACTTTGCATCGGGAAGGGACAAAGTCCCACCAGGGATAGCGATATATTCAGGGACAACACACCCACCTCTGGTTGTACTTTCCCACTTCCCTGTTCTCACTGAGATTAAAGGACGACAAAGCATATCTGTACCTTTGATCTATGCCTACATAATAGAGACTCTCCTTTTAGCGAAAGGCTCAAACCTTCACACCAGCTGGGACATGGAGCCTGGCTGCAGCAGTAAGGCAATACACAACAGCTCAGTTTGCATTTCCCTTTCTTTTTCCTTACTGGCCTTTCTCAGCAACTGCCTCACCCTAAAGAAACATTTACTGCCTCATCTAGCATTGTTACAAGAACCTGTTCTATAGGTTTTATGGCTAATGTTGCCTTAAGTTACCAAGTACATTAAACCTCACTCCTGCGGCTTTTACTGTCTAAAATACTTTGTTATATTGGTGGGTTTCCTTTGGATCTTAGTGGGTTTTCTTTCTCCTTGGATTACACCCACGTGCTTTGCAGCACAACTCCATGATGTTCACACAAATCTGAATGTTAGGAAGGGGCCCAAATCTGACCTTTGCCTGGAAGAGCTAACTTTTAGGAGCATCATGTGTATGTTTATGGGAGGGTATCAGGAGACTATTTCTCTTTTTGGCATCTGCAGATGCATCCAGCAATCTATAGCATGGGATCTGAAGCAATTTATGAGCAAAGTTAGTCCTTTTCATACACCACAGGAATGTGGGGTTAAACAAATTGAACTCTGGCCAGGACTTACTGGAAATAAGCAGCCCAGGACAGGATGTACAGCCATTACAGTTAGGGCAGTGCTTGCATCACCACCTAAGGTCTGTTAGTACCTCACCATCCACTTACCACTGGAAGGCTTGTTTCTTTTGGGGCAGTTTTCTGGATTTCCTAAGCCTCAGTCTACACTGGACTCCTGAAATCATCAGCCAGAGCTGACTAAAATGAGGGGCAGGATTACTGAAACTCACTGCCAAGTTTTAACAGATTATACTGAGCTAGCTTTTTGGCTGCCTTCACTTGAACACCTAATCATAAACTTATGGAAACTCTGAAGAGTTCTTAAAGTCATCTACTTAATTGTGGCTATTTCCAAATCCCTGGGCATGTAAGCAATCAGCTGGGAAGCAGTGTCATGCAAAGTCAGTTTTATGAATGGCTTTTCATAGAAATAGGCTCGAAATCAGAAGAGTTGCTTGTTCTCTCTACCCTGACACCATTGCCCATCTCCCTCCTACTTTCCTGCCCCCCTACAGCGCATAGCAATCATTCAATGGAAGATGACAAATCCATGTGTAGTGGCAACACCCACCCCAGTATGCTATGGGCAGGTTCTGTGCAAATCAAGTACACTTTCCCAGTCTCAAATCACCAGTTTTGATAAGACATTCACATTGCATAGTCCTTTACATATATTAACTTCCATCTGTTTCACATTCAGGACTCATGCAGCAGCTCTGGACCTTGGAAGACTCTAACCTGTGTTGTGTAGTTTGTGGATGAAAAGTGACCACTGAAAACCATCCAGTTAATGTTGCCATTAGTCCAACCTGTTGGCAAGTCAGACTGTTGACCTCATGAGAAGTTACAGTGTTCTAAAATGATGAGTTTTTTCAGATTTTACCAAGAAAATACTTGTAAGTAACTGAATCATTAATTTCACCAATGGAATTCAGATATTCAGAGGAGAAAAATGCACAAAATTAATTTCACTATTAACTGGCAGCTGCAAACACTTTGAAAGAATTCAGCTTCAGGATGGCCTCCTGGAGGGGATGACCCTGGAGCCAGGCAGGACATGTCTAGTGGTTGAGCTAGCCCTCCTCCTCACATTGCATCAACAAATGGTGCACATGCTCCAGAAATCAAGTTGCTGAAGGGGCTCCCTGGCACATTAGCCTGGCAGATCTGGGTCACGGCCAGCCCGTGTCAAGGTGCTCCTTGGAGTCACAGATTTAACTGCACAATGTGAACCTCAGTAGGCTGTTAAGGAGTTGGCAAAAAAGCTGGCAGGAAGCCACAAGGGCCTGATTCAAAACCTTCCTGACAGAGAGGATTTCACTGCAAGAGCTGAGGAACTGACACATTTCCTTTCATGTTTTACTTTAAATGGAGACACATTTTACAGAAAAGTCCCCCCCCCGGTTCCATTACTGAAAGGCCTTGGAGCCTGATCCTGCAAATGCTTTGACTCACAAATAATTTTCTGGAATTGTGTAATGCCACTGTGTCATGCTTTTCCAGGATCAGATCTCCTTCAACTGCCCATTTTGCAGGCTGACTCAGCAGCCATCCATCTCTTATGGTTCACTTGGCATGTGTTTGCCTGGTTTGCAGATCCATGGCTGGTGTGTAGTTGTGTTCACCCCCTGGAAACAACACTCAAGACGTGAAGCAGATGCAGCCACATCTGTGACTACATCTCCATGAAACAACATACGCTGGTTACTTACAGCATATTCAAACTGCAGATTAAAATCCCGGTTGTTTGCTTGAAGTTGTCTCTCTTCCTCTGTAAAGAAGAGGAAACACATCAGACACGCTTGAGGGCAAGTGGAGTCAATACAGATACGAATGAAGCATCAGAAAATGAAAGCAGAGCTGCTAAAAGGCAATGGCACCGTGAATCTGTGCCCTGTGCCAACTACCCCATGTCAGGGAACTGGAGAGGGTGGTGACACTGATGGAGCAGCACTGTGGACTGGTCCTATAGCACTCTAACACCCTATGCCAAGTCTCCTCTACCCACAACTCACTGCAATGCCAATGCTGGTTTTACAGGTTGTAAACTCTCAGGTAAGATTTGCCACTTAACTAGTGGTGCTCACTATTCCTGTCCTGCTCCATCTCTTCCCCTTGAAATCTCTGGAGCTATTGCCATCAGCCTACTGTTGGGCCCTTCCTCCAGTACAAGTGCATCTCTGAGCATCATCCCACAGATGGGACACCATCACCATAGCTATCATGAAATCAAAAACTACTGGAAGGGATATCAAAAGGTCATCAAATCTACCCTTTACCTCAAGGCAGAGTCTCACCTGTCACTCCAATAAATGTCATAGAAAGCTCCAGTGATGGCTGGTCTTCAAACTGCCTATTCTAGGACTGCAGTCTCCTCCCCCTGGGGGAGTTTTTTTCTTCATTATCTAACATAAAATTACTTCAATTTATGGAGGTTTTATCTTCTCCTGGGATGGTCAAAGGTGCTCTTCTTATTCCCCTCAGTTCCTTGTGCTACTTGCCCAGGACACAGAGTAGGAACAGTCAAAGGAGGGAATTGTCCCTCTCTACTCTGTGCTGGTGCTTCCTCACCTGAGTCCTGTGTGCAGTTTTGGGCACCACAGTATAAGAAAAATATAAAAGCTATTAGAGGGCATCCAAAGGAGGGCCATGAAGATGCTGAAGGGCCTAGACTGGAAGCCACATGAGGAGCAGCTGAGGTCACTTGGTTTGTTCAGTCTGAAGAGGAGACTGAGGGGAGATCTCATAGAAGTCCACAGCTTTCTTACAAGTGGAAGGGAGGGTGTTGATCTCTCCTTGCTGGTGACCAGTGACAGAACTCAAGGGAAGAGCATGAAAGTGGGTCAGGAGAGGTTTAGGCTGCATATTAGAAAAAAGGTTTTCCACTCAGAGAGTGGCTGGGCACTGGAAAAGGCTCTCCAGGGAAGTGGTCAGAACACCAAGCCTGCCAGAGTTCAAGAAGTGTTTGGACAATGCTGTCAGGCATGTCCACTCTGAATGCACAGTGGCCAAAATGGGCCACAGTTTGCAGCTGAGGCCTTACCAAAGCTGACCAGAGCACAAAGAACACTCCACTTACCTTGCAGAGAACGCATATTATATGTAAGAATTCACCTAGAAGTAATTTAAAGTAATATCCTTATGCACTGCCAGCATGTAGAGGCTCTTCAGAATACGATCCATTTTGGCAGATCCTTTCTGGCAAAGCCAATGCCTCATCAGGGAATGCAAATCTTTAATTTTTCCTAGCTGAACTGCATCCAAATTCTTTCAGACTATTTCTCCAACTAGTCAATTCTAATCCTATCTTTCAATGTGCATGTAGCTCCTGCCAGCGAGGTGCCATTCGCAGATGTACTAAGTGTGTTCTTTATTCTGTCAGCCAAGATGTAGAAGTAAATATTGAATACCAGACTCAGGATGGGATATAGCCTTGATGGATCTCTCAAGTTTCATAATCAGTCATCAATATCTATTGTTAATGCCTTTTTTTTTCCTGAAAAATCTGGCACTAACTGTACTGTGATTTTATATCAAGCATGTATCTCCCGTTTACTTGTAAAAATGCCACAAGTGACAGTCAAGATACATGGCAGCTATCTAAGGCTTTTTCAATAGCCCTCTGGCTACCACTAAAACAGAATTAATTTTGGTTTGATGCAGTTTTTCAGGACTGCTGACTGTTAATCATCTCTTCCCCACACACTCACTTCTCATTACTTTCAAGTGGTTTGTTGGATTGTTTTAACCTTTACTCAGGTGAAGCCAATCCATCTATAATTGCTCAGCTTTTCTTTTTCTCCTGTTTCAAGATAGATGCTGTGCTTGCTCTCTTCCCAGCCTCCAGAACTTTGCCTGCCTGTGCACCAGAAACTCTCAAAGGCAGCAGCGCTCCCGGGCATACTTTACCTTACACAGCCAACCCATTCTCTCTCTACTGCAGCCCAAAACCTCCCCCCTTCTCCTCTGTTTTTGGCAACTATTATGTTAGATGTCTAAAGCAAGAAAAAAAAAAAAAAGGAAAAAAGGAAAAAAAAACACAACAAAACCCCTCTGCTTTCTTAGGCTTATTTGCTAGGCTTTTTTGCATTGAGCAGCAGACATAAACTGTCTTTGATCTCCCTCTTATTAGAAGGGTTACAGAACCCCAGAGACCTCAACTCTTACAGAACAACTTTTATTGCCCTTTATGTCCTTGATAGCCTTTTCTCACGTTGAGCCTTTGCCACACTGTTTGTCCTGGATAAAACAAGCTGTTTTGCACCTTCTAGAGGCATCCTTCCTCTGCTTGAAGCAAATGAGGAGCTTGTGATTTCACCATTTTACTCATCCTTCTGAGCCTTTCCCTGAAAAGTGATAACTTCTAGATGTGCCCTTAATATCAAATAATAACATATGTGTTCTTAAGATCAATTAATATTATATGTGCCCCTAATATCAATTATTTAAAGAAATGACAGCTCTGTTTAATTCTCCCTCCACCCTAGAATTCCTTCCCATGAGATCTCAGTTACTAGTTCTTTGTATTTACTGAAGACTTCCTTCTTGAAGTAATTTTCAAACAATTTCCTATTGTCACTTTTTCCTAAGTATCATCCCATCATTTCATAATTATTCCTGTTTATACTCCCTTCTGCTTTCACAGGACCAGCCAGCTCCTCCCATTCCCTCTCTTTTGGAGGGAATCAGTTCTGGAACAACCTCCTCTCTAGCTCCAAAAAATTGCCCATCTCTGCACCAAAACTCTGTGCCAGCTGAACAAGTCATGTTCCTCTATGCTCCTCTCCAACTCTGTCTCTGCATAGCTAGAATTCTTCATTTGCCACCATGCCCTGCCTCTTGGAAAACTATTATTTTTTTTTTTACAGAAGACTGCCCTTCTTGGTTTGCTATGGCTGTGTTATTTACCCTTGTAGCATTACTCAGAGTTCTGAAATTTGTTCATCTCTTTCTTCATGCTGCATCTCAGACCACACAGTCATACAAGGAAAACCTCTGTTAACCTTACAGAATTAGCTTTATTCTTTTCTATTAATATTCCAGCCTCATGAGTTATCACAGCACGTGTCTGCTACACCTATTAAATGATGTGTTGAGACATCTAGTTCTTCCTGTTTGTTCACTCTTGCATTAGCAAACGTCTAAGCTGTTCAGTACATTGAACTGCTATCCTTCCTTCTTTCCCTCCAGTGACCCTTTGGATAACACAGCATCTCTAATTTTTAAGCCATTTTTCAGACCACCATTTTTTGGTTTCTGTCTGTGGGCTGTTTTCATCAAGCCCTCTAATCACTAATGTAAAGCTACGTTAGCAGGCAAATGTGTTTTTCGCCTTCTTCAGGCACATCCAGTTGTGTCAGTCATTTTCGAATCGGCTCCCATCTGCCCCAACTGGGTGATTCAGACCAACCACAGAGGCTTCATTCAAGACCCTCAAAGTGCTTAATCCTTCACTGCTTTCCTTGGACACATTTTTCTCATCCTTCACAATGGGGAGAACAAAGTACTGAGAAATCAGAGTGACTTATCTAGTGCCCCAGAGGAAAACAGAAGCAGAGCTCAAGAGGTCCAGGTTTCAACCATTGAGTTATGTGCTCCTTCAGGAATCTTCCTGAGAGCAACCAGTATTATCAAAGCCAATGAAAGATAAAGCTATTTGTTACAAACAGAACTTCCCAACACTCGCATGTTTCCTGCCATACAGTAAGTGCTGCTCTTCTCCCTTCCCCAGGGGCTTCCAGTCTAGTCCTGGAAGAAATGGCACAGAAAAGATAAATGACGTTAATGTAAATAGGAATAGATGACAGAGCTTGAAAGCCTGTTGGGCTACACAGCAGAGCCTCAGTGTCACATGGAGGCTTCTAAGAGTCTCTGAAGTCCTCAGTGACCTTCTGCTTTGCACGCAGAAACAGAAATCCAAGTGCTGCGGGCAGCAGTGTGAGCTCCTTTGCTCTTACCAGGGCTTGCTGGGGGAGTAAGGAGTCATCCCCTTCCTCAGGTTGCCCCCAGGGTCTTTGCAACCAGGGCAGAGGCACTTAACACAAGAATTTGAATTCAGGGGTCTCAAATGCTCTTAGAAATGAGCTGAAACATGCATGTGCTCCAGTGAGGAAAGGAGCTTCTCAGCACAGTGAGAGATAACATTCTCCAAATGGCTTTTATGTGAGCCACTCAAATGGCTGCAAGTGGCTCAGGGATGGCACAGAAACATGAAGCAGAGGGACATGAAACAGAACAGAAATTAAAATCAAGGCACTGCATTCCCATGCCTGATCATATGGTACCTAAGGGCAGGTTTTCTATGACAACACATTTCTGAAGGCCCCAAATAACTCTGAACCTGGTTCAAAACTGAATGGAGCCTCTGGCTGCCATAGCCATCCATCCATCTCAGAGGCAGTGTCCTTAAAGGCCAAAACATGAGATTAATTTCTAGTGATGAGAATTTAATTCTTCCTACTGGGTAACAGCCAATACCTTTGGCTAAATCAAGAAAAAACACAATAAATTGCACAGGGAGCCTCATCCAACAGTATCAGCAAGGAGAACTTTCTGTCCTTTGGCTACACCAAAGGAGAATCACTCTGACCACACACACAGGGAAACACTCCCTCAGTGGGTTCATTTTTACCAGCTGAGGACTGGGAGATCCTACTGCTGTGCCTCCTAACCCAGCAGTTCTCAACTATCATAGACCATGTGACTCCTTTTTGTTTTGGAACAGTTTGGACAGAAATTAAGCCTCTTGGATGACCATAATAAACAAAAATA